TCAAGCGTGGAAGGATGAATTCCCCGTGGATGGTGAGCGGTGTGATAATAAAAGGTAACTGTGAGCATCATTTCAAACAATTCCTCAAAATACACTTTGTTATACAAGCGGTAGAATACACAAAGAGAGGCAAAGTCTCGCCCTAAACTTAAGGGCACGATACCGCTTGTCAGCTTGAGATCGTTGACAATTCTCATAGCTCGTCTTTGAATCGAGTCAAGAGGACCAAGCTGGTATCCAGGTGTTTCGGCCCATAAGTGAGGGCAGGACTCCATAAGGGACCGGACTTGTGTATACAATAATAGTTTTTCTCTCGGGGTGAAGTACCATTTTGCTCTATTGAGCACCCCGAGCCTTTTTGATGCCAAGTTGAACCCGTCTTTAAGTTGACATCGTATATCCACAGTTCTAGAAATGTCGACACCGAGGATCCCAATATTATTAGAGATAGTAAAGGATGCGATCTGGAATTGCAGAGCCGCAGTAAATGGGGTTTTATCAGCAGTGAACGTGCAAGCTTGTGTCTTAGACGGGGCAAATAAATTTAGTCGTCCCCAATCAGAGACCCTAACAAGATTACTCTTGATTTAAGCGAAAAGCTATTCGCGGTTAGACCCCACAACGAAGCGAAATATGTATATTCACACGGCCCGTGTATTATGCATCCCCAATATTATCATCCGCATAAGAATGAATGTCGACCGTTGTTGTTAAAGTAGTTACTTTTAAAAAGTTAGCACTGTTAGCGCCTTGTCATACTCGTTTTATACTTTGAAATAAACATATCCGTTTGTAGGTCAAAGAAATATAATTGTGACAAAGCACCAAAGTAGGTATTTATCGTACTATTTATTAACACGTTCATAAGTAACGTTTATAATTTAGTATTTTTTTTACTTACAACAGATTATTGATAATATCCAGTGTGACTTTCTAATTACATATATATAAAAATCGTCATAGTTGTAGAATACTGACAGATCTGACAAAGATTACGTATCCGTCAGTATTCTACGACTATAACGAAATAAAATTAATTCGATGTTTCTCCTTTAAATACCTATTACTTGCTGCCTACAATAAACATATAATAAAACTGTAAATAGACGATGTCTGAACATAGACGATATTTAAGAAAAATTCATTGAAAATTTAAGAGTCTATTAAAGACAAGAGAAGCCATAATATTTTTTATCTGTCTATACGTTTGTTTCGGCATCACGCAAAAACTACTGCACCAAATTGGAGGCGGTTTTCACATGATTCTTTAAGGTGACATTTAGTATCCTTTTAAGGGAGTATTCTACCAATAAGATTGAAAAAAGATGGGTTAAAATACGACAAAAATACTGGTCTTTGCATGAAACACCACGCGTTTAGAACTCAAGTAAGTTTGGCAAGTTTTATGAGAATTTGTTATAGCTAGCTACCTTAACTAAATGTTTATAGTAATCACGTTTTGGAAAATCGTTTGACTAATTAAAGGGTGATCTATGTGTCTTTGAAAACTTAGTTTTCTTTTCAACCAACTTCAAAAAGGTTTACAATTCGGGTTTTTTTAAGATTGTTACTTAATAACTCCGTCAGTTCTAATCCGATTTGAAAATTCTCTTTTATCATAAAGGATATACTTACAAATCGTCCCACAGAATTATTATCGAAATCCATTCAGTAGTTTAGTTTTTTAATTAAAATAACTGGTTTGCCACAATTGAAGTCGGTAATTTTTTATTGATACACACTCTTTGATTAATAATAATGATCTCGAAGCTTTATCAATCCGCAACCTATTTAAGTTATATACAAGTAACTTAATAAACAAGTGTAGACAGTGAATCGGTAATCTTAACAATATAAAAGATAAAGTAGATTGTGTTCTGAGAAACAATTTGATAAATTTTATCTAATCAGTATCACAGACATACGCGGTCAAGATGTGTATTTGATCGAGTCAATCTTTGAGAACTGTTGTTAGGTATTCGTGTTTGTTTGGCTGCATTTCAGTTTTAAGGGTGAGATATGGCAATAAAATGACAGGATACAAATGATTACTACCTTAGTCGCAACGTATGAAAAGTATCATGGGTGTCCCAGTATACTCTGTGATGTCCTTTGTGTTGTTTATATCTATAGGCATCGGTTAACAATTACCATAAGATGGACCGTTTTATGTCTACTCTCTTTATAAGTGTCGGTCAACAATCTCCATAAGATGGGTCGTTTTATGTCTACTCTATAGGTGCCGGTCAACAATTTCCATAAGGTGGGTCGTTTCATGTCTACTCTATAGGCGCCGGTCAACAATTTCCGTAAGGTGGGTCGTTTCATGTCTACTCTATAAGCGTCGGTCAACAATTTCCATAAGGTGGGTCGTTTCATGTCTACTCTATAAGCGTCGGTCAACAATTTCCATAAGGTGGGTCGTTTCATGTCTATAGGCGACAGTTACCACTTTCCATCAAAAGGACCGTCAGCTAGGTTGCCATTCTAAGTTGCATAAAAAAGATATTTTCGGTACATTCGTAACTTGGTTAAGTAACATGTACTCGTAATGAGTACTAAGTACGCCGGCAAGTGTATGTATTTTAAAGCAGCAGGTCAAAGTAATCACATTTTGGAAAAAGGCTTGATGGATTTACGTCATAGACGTTTTGAATCAAGGTAATTCTTTACAGGAATTAAAATGGGACGGTAACCCGACTGCGCTATTGATACACTGACGGGGTACTAGTGATGGATGCATCATCATCATCATCCTTCACTAGTACTCCGCCAATGTATCGATATATAGATCAAGTCCAGTCGTACCCTTGTCACGAATTCAGCAATAAAAAGCCACGATGATTCCGATGAGGTCGACCTGACAGGATATATTGATAGCGACGGGGTTACTTGCTCTATATTAAAAATAAACATAAAACTAAAAGAAATATGTAGCAATTAGAAAACCATTTAAAAATATGCATATCTTATTTTATTTGTAAAAATACCTACATCAGTGAGTTGCTAAAAGTATTCAACTCAACTTTGCTGTCATAAAACTGGCCGTAAATTGAATACGTTCTTAGAAAAAAGACTGGAACAATCAAAGACGCGTCCTTGTACAACTTTGGTCCCTTTGTAATACTTGAGGTGCATTCCCTTGTACCGCCCTCGGCGCGCTCCGCGGAGTCGCGTGAAGCCTGCTACACACCGGCCTCCGCGCAACTCAAGCTAACCTACAATGTTGTACTTACATTGTAGTCCTTTACAAGCAGAAGTTATTATAAATAACAAATACACTGAACCGACGTGTTTATTCTAATTTGAATTTAAATTCTATTTTTGGATAACACAAACTTCCTCTTCACAGATGTCAGTTACATTTTACCGCCAATTCCAAGTACACATATGGTACGATGTTATATTGTAATTTACTATTGTTTAACTTCTCACAGACTAATTTGAGACGAACAGGAATTAAGATGTTTTGAATAATTATAATGTTATTAACATTGCTGTTGGAATAATAGTATTAAATGTTGTTGACAATTTGTTATGAATATGTACATAAAAGTTAATTACAAACATCGAATGTAGAACATGAGATAAATAAACATTTCGTATTATCAGTGCAGATAAAATAACTGGACGTCTTACTAACCTGACGGCTCGGCGCTGTCGTTCATAATCCAAGCTGCATTTTAACCTCAAAAAGCATCAGAAGCACGGTCACAATACGCGAAGGTCACGGTTATGTTACGTTGCATAGTAATCACCAACACTCCACCGATAGCATGGGAATTTATAAAAACAATACACGAACAACGATTAGTGTTAATATTGATAACATAAACACACGAATACACAGTTCATTGCACGTTTATTTGACAAACGACCCGTTATATTGACAGCTCCGCTAGATCGCATATTTGCCATGTTCTTTGAATAAAACTAGCACCATTGACAACCCGTTGTCATAAGTTTTATGCAGTTTACGATAATACATGTCACAGCCGTGCACTGCACTCCGTCTGACACGACGAATATGGCGGATGAATTTGAACTACGCTTGCGCCGGCTGGATGCCGCCGTTGTGCAGGTAAAAACAAGGATGATAGTAGCGCCATCTAATGAATAGAGCCTGAACTTCTCGTTAGCTGTATAAAAGCATTCTAATGATTGTACTTATTTACATGTTATAGCAAAAGATGGCGATAGCAGTCTCTTTTATAGAAATTTCTAAGTTTGGAACTATTAGTTGATATTCATGACTACACAGGAGAATACTAATGATAATAATAATACGTATCTATCACGTACAAAGGGTTATTGGTTTAAACGATGAAATTTGACAGTGAATTTACAGGATACGGACGGATAACAGGATCTCAAGCATGACAATGCATGAGGGGTATTGATAAGTGTCAGAGTGTGTCCTGTAAAAATCTATAGACGACCATTATTATGTATTTTTCTTTAGCCGTGTGATTAGTTTAAAATCCATTCAACTTTGTATAGAAAATATGAACTAATTCATTTAATTATACACATATATTACAAAAATAATTATCAAACTCGGTTTAGAATTGGCAAATATGAAGTTATTCATTGATGTCATGAAATATAAAGTTACAGATTATCATGAAGAAGGATATTAGCACAGATAATAAAATAGATAAGCTACTTTTTATCCCAGTCATAGAAAGGTAGTCGCGAGCATGGAATAGATATTTATAATTTTCGCAGTTTAGGTGCTGAACGGTTAACACTAGGCTCCGAGCAGCGATCTAATAATAGCTTGAAGATGCCTCATTTACCAGTGAAACACGTGTAGCAAAAGGTGCGAGAACAGAATGGCAGTCGGAGACTGATGGCTAATATGAAAAGTTATGGAATTTCCGTTAGTAATACTGGTGATCAATCTTCGAGTGTTGACAGTCACACACATAGTGATGGCGAAATTAAACAAAATAATTCTATTCAAACAATCAGAAATAAAAGCAGAAAACTACAATAGATAGGTTTATTCAATCTTTGTATTTACAAGCAATAATATAATACTTTATAGACACCATGTAAACATAACATTAACATATAAACTTCGATCTGAATCTAGATGGAGCGTCAACTGATAAAAGCGGTCCGAAAGGACAGTCAGCCAACTATTGGATGACTGGAGAGGATAGGGATTATTAATTTGTAAAAGGGAACTGCTAGGAAATTAGTGGTCCATTGCTAGCTTTATACCATATCTGATCAACCTCTACACTTTTATTTTTTTTTTATTTTTTATACAACTTAGAATGGCAAACAAGCTGACGGCCCATCTGATGGAAAGTGGTAACCGTCGCCTATAGACATGAGCAGTACCATGGCATAACAGAGTATACTGTTTCGCCCATGATACCCCCCATGCGTTGCCATTCCTGAGGACTCAGGTTTTATTCCTCTGTACTCAGTAAATTAACGCCACTCACACACTGTTTCCTCTAAACATTATCAAGGTTAATTCCTGATAAAATCATCCGAAGGGCTAATATCCTGACATTCTTACGTCGTTACGTCATTATTCACTTATAGCCAATATGACAGGTGGTTATTTAAAATAGGCAATTATTATTAGTAACATTATAATTTCAAATACGGTTTTATTCTGATAAACATCTACAACTTAAATATTAATTAACACAAATAAAAAATGAGATATCTTTACAATGACTGTTTTTGTATAAGAATTTGTAGGGAGACACTCCATCTAGTTGTTATTAATCTAATAGGTGTAAAGCTTTTCAGATATATCTATAAGCTTATTTTCTCCGAGTCCTATATCGGAGTGCCATCAATGCCAGTAGGTGGAAGACCAGGTATAACACGAAGAGCGCGATGACGTCAAGCCAAAGGTGTTCCGGGGAGAAGTCGTAACGGTTTAGAACATCGTTTCCGGTACTGAGGCACGGTGCGCCGTTTGTGTTAGCCACACACGCTGTAAAAAATATAAATAAATAAATAATTTTGGACAAATCACATAGCGCCCCCGCACATGCTTTAAGAAAAAAAAATAGTCCCGGACTAATCACACAATCATCTAGCTCCAAGCTCAAACTAGTTGAAACCAGGGGACTACAGATATCTTAAACCGCGGGATATCGTTAAGGTAACACATAGGATCTATGAAAAGATGGTATAAGGCAGGGGAAAGCACAAAAAAACCCGATCGGTCGACGTGCAACGGCTTAGCTGACCCCATATGCGAATATAAGTTCAAACTAAGCTTATATGGGTACTAGATAACTAATAAACTTATTAAAATATTATTTTTTTAGAACTACATACATATATTGATTAAACAATACAAATAACTTTTTATTCCACTTGATTAGTTTTTTAAACAATTTTTTTTTAATTAGTTTCCGAACAAAGCCCGTATTGAATAAAAATTTATAAGACATATCTGCATGCAAAGAGATGTCTAAGTTATTAAACATTGTTAAGTTAATGTAATAATACTTATTTGTAATTTTAAATCAAAATCTATAAATTATTGTAGCAAAAAGATTAGAACTCATCAATACAATACGATACTTGAATAATTAGTTAACCTTAGATGGGATTTGATGGGATATTATAAAGCTAGAGTGAATGGGCATTATTTGAGTTTGCGTGTAACATCTTAGACCACATTGACACAATTAAAAATAAAAAAAATAAACTTGTAATTTATAGTCTATTTGTATAAAACGATAATAAAATGACAAGGATAATGAAACAATAAGTTTTGTTGAAATTGCCACAATTTTTTTTTCTAATTTCAATCAGCTGACTATCTTATGGTGTAGTCAATTATTTGTTTATTTACATTTCCATTAAATTCTATTGAAAATGACTATACCAATTCTTCTAATTAGCTATTCTCCTATTCACTGGAAATATTTGCTCCTATTCATAAATGGGGACAAAATATTTTAAAATTCTACGAAACCCAGTGGACAATTCAATAGTCCTGCGCCCGATCCTTTGTAACGTTACCTGTCAGATCTTTTTTGTTTCATTGGGAATACCCAAGCGCCATCCGGCGTCTGTTTTTTATAACACATGTTTCAAGACTATGATAATATTAAGAGGATGTGTCAAAATCATTTTACTATTGCGATAAAGATGATGTGATAGAAAGGGAAGAGTTTATATACTAAATTATGTTACGACTTATACTGTTAAGTTTAACTGTAGGAGGAGCCCAGAAGTTTAGTAATAAGAGGGATAACTTTTTTATCATGTTTTTATATATACAAATTAATAATTTATTAATAATAATATAAGTACATACGGAAACCATCATCGTTTGCAGAGAAGAGAGAGAGAGCGAACCACACAGATAAGAAAGGCCAGTGTAGAATACAGATTAAATATTGTATAGGATATAGATTACTCATTCTAACATATACTGTTACTAAATTGAGCATGGATTAATTATTAAATTAAAAAAAATCTAAGTGTAGCAAACTAACATAAGTCAATCAGTATGGTGTTTTTTTAATAGATGATAATGAAATAGTAACCCCGTCTGCGTTATCGGTATACGTGGTGGGGCACCAGTGTGGGATGATAGGTGAGGATAGAAAGACAGGTCAGTTAGCCCATCGTGATATACACACCAGGAATTCAGTACGATGGTTTCCAGGGGGGACCACGTGGAGGTCAAACTGATACCGTATATTGCTAGCAATGAGACTGCTAGTCCATATTACTAAAAATCCTTTCCCCCCTGGTGTATGAGGTTAACATTATAGAAACCACTACACGTACAACAGTACAGTAGCAACTTAACGTCTGTGTTCTCGGTACTAGCATGGCGAGATTGAAGATAGATAGGGTTTAACTAATCGTAACGTCTTACTTACGCCATCTAGTCCTTATCATTGCAGATCATATTTATTACATTATTAAACTACGAGTACATTACTAAAAATGCAGATGAACCTAAAAGGAAATATGTAGTTGGGCGTCAACGCTTCTTCACAGCTTGACTCAGATTGGGCATGAGTTAAAGGTGTGGAATGATTAATGGTTCAACTAACGTTAACAATTTCTTTCTTTAGCAAACGTCGCTTTGCAGTTTTGCTTTGAACAAAAAACAATAATAACAATGGGCTGCAAATCGCAATGCGAGACGAGACGCTGTGACGCAGCGTCATATTCCCCCGAAAGAAACTTCCGGATGAAGTCGGAACAATTGTCGAAACAACAAACATACTAAGTTCATAAAATTCCCATTGTGATATAGATAACATTCTTCATGTTTACTTTAGATAGACGGTCAGCTTCTATGTTATTCAAAGTAATAAACTGAGCTAGTACGCTGGAAATAAAAAAAAAACTAAAACTGTACTTACTTATATTACTAATGCCGTCCCATTGAAGTATGCTCATAGCTTCGTTGGAGTACATCAACCATGACAAGTGACGGATCCAGGAAACGTATTTAGGTATCGAACTACAAAATAAGAAATTATTATTCACACATATACAATACTGTAGCAATACCAAAATAATAAAAGTAATAAAGTTAATATATTTAAATGTCTCTAACATTGTTTGATTAAATTATTCACTTCTTGAGACGTGAACTCATAAAATATTATGAATTTGACATATTTCTTAATCCAAAATGCTTTTATGTACTAGTAAGATTGACTGGAAGAGGTCAGGGGAAAGGGATTGTTATTAATAAGATCTAAAAGCCCTATTGCTAGTAGTATGCCCTATCGCGTCGACCTCCACGCTGTTACCCCTGTTAATCATAGTTGCACAGACGGGGTTATAATTCCGTTTTTACTCATAAAAAAAATGGAATAAAAAAGTTTCAACAAAATCGAGAGTAAGACGAAGCAACATAATATCGTCAAAATAATTGTCTGTTAATTAAGTGTATGACATAATCGCAGACATAGAAAAACTAGATGTCCATCATCATTCCATAATTTCAAGATACAATTTAAAAAAAAAAAAAAAACTAAAAAAAGACAATCTTTCAAACTTTATTAGGTAATGTTGTCGTAGCCCAAAACATGCAAACCCAACGTTGTAATTAGAAAACTTCGTGTTATAAATTATTGTATCAGAATTATATCAGTTTTGATTATAATCAAAATTGATCAATTGCAAATTTTGTTGTTACAAATTACCTCAGTCTAACGAAGAGTCCAGATGTCATCATGAGCGCATAATCGAAGGGCACGAGGTACGCGATAGCGACCGGCATCGAACCGAACGCACATGAGAAAAATGAACCTGCAGCAAAAAAATATTTACAAAACTAGGTGTCATCTTGCAGAAGTCCATCATCATCATATCAGCGTTTAACTGTCCACTGCTGAACATACCTTGGGGAGTTTGGCAACCACAGTCAGGCTTTAGAGATATTTAAGAAGAACGCTGCTGTGCATCCCTCTTCTTCCTTTAGTCGACTTTTACGACACCCATGAGAAAGCAAGGAGTGGTTTATTCTACGCTAGGACCACACGGCGGAAGTCCATATAACTCATTATTTGATTATAACTCTAATAAAATTACTAAAAAAATCTTTGATAAAGCTGTGGTCATCGTAACAACCTTACGCGAATCATAACAATTCATTTGCATAACCCGCCGAGTTCAATAGACCTCTAGCATTCAGGGCGGACTACATTTACATCGACAAATTATACAAAGCAAATCTTATTGGGATTCATTTATAACGAGGTTTCTAACCCCGCTGGTCTCTTATAAGAGGAGGATAGCAAAGCATGAGGGGCACCATAGGTATAACGGTGTATTCTGTGATGTCCAAGAAATAGGTGACGATTACCACTTTCTATCAAGTGGACCGTCTGTCAGCTTGTTTGGTATTCTAAGTAACATATAAAAGAGAACTATTACTCCGCTATTTTGGTGGCTTTACATAGGATTCCATTTCGAAATTTCCCTCTCTTGAACTAGTGTATTATGCTTCCTGTTCATAATCGGAAACGACGGAAACGGCGGTATTTACTCTGTCACCATAGAGAAAAAAGTTGTAGAAATTCCCGGATAAACTAATAGAAGTATTAATCATAAAAAATCTTACCGCAAGCGATAGCAACGTTGAGCACTAATATGGCTAAAAGGACCGTGAAACTGAACGCGTATAATGTACTCCGCAAGCCAGCTATCCAGTAGACCACCAACGTGAACAACGTCGGCTCCATCACTAATCCAGGGAACTGGAACAAATAAGCTTGAGTAAGAATCATTAAAATTGCTAATAGGATCACTTAAAAAACAAAATTGTAATCAAAAACCTTCAGTATACCAAGAGATAACATATACCTATATAAGATAAAGCCAGAAGATGTAGAAGTACGTAAAAACAAAGTTGACACTTCTCTAGAATCATTAAAGACAAAGATATACGCAATTCAAACAATGTAAAACATGGTCAAGTTAAAAACCTTGGGATTATAATTGGTGTCTTCAGGAGGCCCGTGAATTTAACTAATATGGTAAAATCGAACGATGAAGATGGTTACTTACTTGTGATTCAGTTACACCCTGTTCACACATGGTAAGTTTTTAATGTTATCACATGTATTTTCTAGAAAAAACAACGCACTGAATATGCCATTACCATCAAATTATATCCATAGTAAATAATAAAACATACCAAGGCGATCATCCTGGCTATATAGTACATTGGTGTAGAGTACAGTCCCGCCTTTAGCTCTCTATTGAACAGTGGGAATTCTTCTGGAAACATGTGTAGTACTGAGTACATTGGGCTGAATGTATTCTCAGCTATGATGATGAAAATAGCGCCTTGAACGTCCTGGATACCAGATTGGGTGAGATGAGCAGTGCCAATAAAGCACAGTCCAGCTGTTAGGGCTATAGCCTAAAACATGTAAAATATGTCAACTGTAAAAGTGTTGTTGTTAACGTAGATCAAATTAAAGAAATATTTTTACCATTTCGTGTAGGATTTTCTTATTTAATAAAGAAATTACGTACCATCTGAGATAATGTAAGTTTATCCAATAATTGATCTTTGAAGAACACTACATGAATAATATCAAACTGCTAACAATAATATCCCAAATGATGTGTATATATTTATAGGAATAGACGATATTTACCATACTAATTGTAGGTATATATTATATTATCTGTCATGGTATCTAGACGTTTCAAACTCTTTTACTTTGAGACCAAACGATAGTGCGTAAATTGTTCAGGATTATTAAGAAGTAAGTAAGATCTCTCTTTGTCTCTCTCAGGTCGGCTAAACTATCGACTACCTAATTGTATCTCGTTAATATTTCCAAAAGAAAACTACGACAGCTACTAATTTTCAATGATTTATTTGAAATGGTCGAAATTAAATGCATTCAAATTGATATTATAAAAGGTATTTTGTAAAGAGCCCTTACTTTACTTTTATTAAATAATATTATTAAATGTTAACTTACCAGTTTCTGCAATATCCGTATTAATTGCACTCGTGGGTCTCTGATAATGATCAGCGAGTACCGGTACACCAACCACATGATTTTTATGAAAAAAACGGTGGCTTGAATATATCCCATGTAGTTCTAATAGTATCCTGAAATATCGAAAAACAATTGGTACATAATCACTGAAAAATAAGTAATAGATATGTATATTTAATTTTTATATCTCGTACTTCATTACTATTACAAGTTATCCCTCTCATATCCCCTGATTATCGTTTGCTAAAATCAATAGACAATATATTGTTATCTAGATAGTCCACAATATTTTTGTTAAAACATCTGCCATTCACTATGTAATAAATAGACCGACTAACCTCATTTTCATGATCCATAAGGTGAAACTCTAAATGTATTTCCATATCTAATTCTTTAGCAGCATCACTAACAGCAAATTGGTCGCAAATGCTTTTTATGGCTTGACGAGAGGCTGTCTCTGAGCCAGGAGTTAAGGCCAGTACCTTTATAAAGTAGTCAGTCGGATTGTAGGTAAGTGGACAATGGTAACCTAGACTGTGAACAAAAAAATAATGAACAGTAGCTTGAAACTGTTTTAAAGACTATACTTATTGTACAAGATGTTTCAAGACAGAATAAAGCCAAAAATAAAAGCCAGCGCCTAATAGCGAGTCGCTCATTGAAAAATATATTAATGAGAAGTATATTTTATTTAGACTATATAAATAAAACCTTTTTTTATAAATTTCAATAAATAGATAAGATCTAATGACACAACGTTGTTTAAATATTTACTCGCAATGTTCTCATAAGATCGCCAGTGTGTCAGGAAGTTCTATTGAGGTCACTGTTGTTGCTTGTTATTCCATCTGACGAGACTCAATTGTATCAAATAATTATTGAATAACTATCGACAAATATCTTAAACTGGAATGGCATCTTTGTGATTAAGGTTTTGGTACATGTAGATACATAGGTAATAAAATAAGTATAGTATGTATGTAAACTCCATTCTGTGGGTATTGTAAGAGGCGATTAAGGGAACTTATGGATGGGATGGGCAGCATCACCAAAGGTCTAATTGCGGTTGCCAACCTGCCTGCCAAAAGTGACAATTCGCTTTTATACGAGAAGTCTATGTTTAGCAGTAGACAATTAACGGCTAATATGAATGAAAAAAATATAATATATAATTTCAATGCCAATCAAATACATTTTTTAATCTTTAAAAGATTTCTAATTAATATTTTCGATATTAAAGTCCAATTAAAAATTGTAAACATACACATCTTATAAGTTATGTGTCATTGGTACATTTACTTTTAATATAGTACTTTTGTTTCTTTTCACTACACTAATAAAGAGATAAATGCATGTTTAAATGTATCCATAAGTTTAATTCACTAAGTAACTAGACACAACACGAAATTGCATAAAGTTTAAGGTTTCACTTGAATTGATATTTTTTAAATCAGATATTTCTTATCTCATTCGGCTTATAAAATAGATTAGTGTCCAAAAAACAATTGTAATAATTACGAAGGCAAACATAAGTCATAAATATAAAACAATATATATAAACATATAACAAATAATATGTTCAAATTTCAAACAAATGTCGATAATCTCGACTAGTAATATAAATCGTAAAATATACCTTTCGAAAAAGTGTAGAGCCCCGGAGAAATCACCAGCAAACGCCACTCTGCCTTCAGCTAGTAACACTAATTTGTCAAATAGTGCCATTAGTTCAGATGATGGCTGGTGTATTGTGCATATCACTGTTTTACCCTGTGCAGCACTGGCTCGAAGTAGGGACATCAGTTTTTGAGCTGATGACGAGTCTAAACCCGTGGTCGGTTCATCGCAAAACAATAGGCCGGGATCAGTCAAAAGCTGTAATAAATAGGGATGTTTTTTATTTAAACCAAATAAAGATCTTTTACTTCGTAATTAAAAGTAGTTATTTATCAGAAGTACTTTAAATAAAAAAATCAAATCATGATTTAAACAGTTCAAGTGTAACCAAAAACCTAAATAAAGCCATATAGACATAATTTATAAATAATAAAAAATAATAGGTAATATAGAATATAAATGAATTTATAACGAAATAATGTATTCTGCAAAATTTTAATTAATTGTCAAAATAGTTACGTTAGTAACTTTTTATAATATACATTATTTTACTAGGTACTAAACTAGGTTTATTTTACGGACGTTCATATCACTTGTTAGTTGATTAAAATAATTTTGTGTAATCCCGCTATCATTACTGCTTGTGACGGCTAACCTTCAAAAATTAACTAGTGTTATTATTACCAGAAGATCTACCAACCATCTATATTAGTCATCAATCTCTCCAACCGCCATTCAGTCCACGCACGTTTTGCGTGGACTTGGCTCTCTAAACAAGTTTTAGAGGTGAAACACGTGTTGCAAAACAAATAAATTATTTTACAATATTTTATATTTACAGAGGATAAAGTATTCATAGATAAATGAATTTAAAATTATATTAATACCTACTTACCTCAGTAGCGAATGCTAATCTTTTCCTTTCTCCTCCGGAAAGAGTTTTTCGTCCATCCAGGCCCCCGATTCTAGTGAACCTACTACCGTAAAGGGCTAACTGTCTCAGAAGCTGATTGACTCTTCTTTTTCGCATTATGGAAGAAACGCGGCGATCCATACGCAGCCGGGCCTTACCGAGAATAATAAATGTTATATAATTGCAATGATAATCTAACAAACTATAATAAACAAAATGACGGGCTACTTATAAGTAATTATGTGACTAACATTGTCCATGAATTCATCTGCCTCTTCAAGTTTTTCAGCGGCGAAAACATGCTGTAGTGTACAAGGACTGCTCTTTAGACGACTTCGAATGTGTTGCAGACACTATTCCTAGCATTATTAATATATTGGGAGGCCGATGTATACTTTAATTTAATTATTACCGGTTTAACTTATATATAATTAGATCGAAAAAGCTCGATCTGTTTTGGAATCAATTCGTGATCCTTAGTCATGAGTGACTGTAACGAGAGCAAAAGCCTGACTGCCTATGTATAATAAATCAATATAAATCTAACATTGTAATAATAAATATGAAAGTTTTAGAATCCAAAAATTAATACCATTATAGTTAGATGTTCGATGACGGTCAAGTTATCAACGAACAAGTCGTCCTGGTGCAGGTACCCGCTCTCCTGGTGCATGAAATCTCCTACTGGCATCCCGTTCATTGCGATGTCACCTTCTGTGACTGTACCTACTGTCCAAATAAAAATTTCCATTATCAATTGGCTATCAGCAATACTTAATTAAATAGTATTGCTGGCCGCTCAATTAGCTCATCATTACAGTCATTATTTGTCCATTCCTAAACACAGGCGTCCATAGATTGTCATAAGGAATGGTTCTGAGCAACCTGCATCCACTAACTCCCTTTTTTTATACCATAAAGATGGCAAACAAGCGCATAACCCAGCTGATAGTAAACGGTCACTGTAGCCAATGCATTTAAGATCGTCGTCTTCATCTAGTGGAGGGTTGACCTATAACTGCATTGGAATAGTATATTTTCATTTAATATCCTTAATATTACAAAGTTAAAAAGATATTTCGATTATCAGCTCTTATAAAAGTTTTTTTAGTTCAATTAATGTACGTACACAGAGCGTATCTTATATTTCTTTTTTAAGAAACTAAAAAATTGTTAGAAAATTTTTCGTCCATCGTTAATTTCTGTCTTATGTTACTTGAAAATATTTCTTACCTGGACTTCTATGTGCTAATGTAGACATTAGAGTCGTTTTGCCAGCACCACTATAAAAAAAAAATATTATATAACCACTTCGGTTTCAAAATCATATAGAACATTAGAATATACCCTTAGAGACTGAAGTTCAAAAAGTCCTTCTTATTACTTGTGTATATTATAAATTTACTGTAAAAATTTAGTATATATATATATACTTTATTTCACTTAAACAATACATGCGACGATTAGTTTAACAACTTGTTAGCAAGGGAGGACTTATCTCTGAAAGAGATCTCTTCCAGTCAACCCAGTGTAGTTAGAGAGTATTCTAAGCTTTAAAAATTTCGGCTGTGTATTAATTAGTTAGTCAGTCAGGATTTTTTTATAATGCATGTAGTACAATTTACTATAATTATTCACTCAATAATAATACAATCAAGGAAACATGTGCTAACTGACATTGTATCATTAGAAATTGTACTTTCTACAATATATGGTATTTATGGTAAACCACGAAATATTACACCACCTAATAGAGTAACAGTCGTAACCACCTTCTTAGCTCGTGGTTTTAGCTTGGAATAGAAAGCCATAATTAATTTTAATAATTTTATACAATCATATCTAAAAAGATTACTGTTTACGATTTTCACCTACATGAATTGATAGCAAACTAAAAATTATATCCATACTAGCTACGTCTGCGTCTTTGCTTCTTAATTTTCATCAGGTAAGCCGTTACTTTACTTGTCAACTTGTGAATAGAATAGTACACCTAAATAAAGATAAAAACCTCACCTGGGTCCCATCAAAGCTACTAAGGTGCCAGGCTTGGCGATGCCGCTCACTAAGAAAAACAATAATAAATATAAATAAATAAAATGCACAATTATACAAGTGTACCTATGGCGAACTTAACACTTAACGGCGTTCTCTAAGTCAAGCATAATTTATATCTTAATTGAATTCTACGAAACAATATCTTTAGTATCATTCGTATATTACATCGAAATAAAGTAGCATGGCAATATATTTGCGAGCAATATATAAGGTTGACGTGCATGCAGTTTTTTCGGTTTATAATGAGCACACTAACTTGCTTTCATCCTCACCTATCATCCCTCAGTGGTGCTCTGCCAGCGTATACCGATAGAACAGGCGGGGTTACCATTCCATCATTACTCATTAAAAAACACAACTGTTCTCAGAAATGATAAAATATGAAGTAATACAACCACAATTCATCACTGTACCTATATTTTGTGTTGAACATGTACGTACATGTCCATACAACAATGACGTGACAATTAACAATTTTCCATCATCACCGTCAATCATCAATCATCAGTACGTATAAGTTATATAAAAAAATGTATGTCCTTATTATCGTGAACACTAAATGAAGTAGGGGAATAAATAATATTCTCTCAAAGTAAAACTAACTTACCATTATTGACGAGTCGTTTCAGGCGTCCATCTTTCTGTTTGATATGCACACTGAGGTCTCTCCACACCAGTGTACAGGGCCGAGGCGCGTGGCTGGTGCCCAACACCTCCTCAACCTCAGGGTACAGGGGGTCATACTTAGTGCGACTTGGTTTCTTCTCTGTGTACACTATTTCAGATGCTAATGTTAGTTCCTGGTTGAAAATAATAGAAGTTAACAATACATCAATTCCACGAGGGAAATATTTGTATTATATGTAAATTTATCCGATAGTTCAGAAAGAATTGGTCGTATCGAGGGTGAAAAAGAACGAAATTGAAGATAAATGAACAACCTATCTAATCAATAAGGTTGACCACCTTATTGATTTTTTTTTCAAGTCCGTACACCTAAAATTTAAATTTTTTTTCATGTTATTCAATAACATTGCGCGATACATGTTCCTCGAAAAACAAACAAGGTTTTTAAGGTCCAAAAATTACAAACTTTAAGCTTCAAATTGCTTTGTGTTTTACTACTCGTATAATACGACCATTTTTGTTGAAAAAAGCCATTTGAAAAATCGCAAATTTTTTTTTTATCTCTTTGTTTTTACCACTACTGTATAAAATTTTAATAGTAATGAGTTCCTTATAAATAAATGTTATAAATGTAAAAGGTAATTTGTTTATCTCTTTGCGGCTTTAACAGTTTAACCAATTATTTTTAAATTTGGTTTATGCAAGTACACGTATTTATTATATTATATAGGATGGAGAGGGACTTCTACTTCGGCTGCTTCTTACTCCGGTCACAAGGATGCAGCTGCAGTTAAAAGCTGGTAGTATAACCTCCTTAATCATTAAATTTCTCATAAACCTATTTTAGCTATTAAACCGTTTTGTCTTTTTCTTTCACGCTAAATTCGCAATTTGAAAGAAAGTAATGACAAAACAGTGCAATAGTTAAAATATATTTGTAAAAGATTTTAGTTTTTATGGATAAACGTTATGAGCGTTTTTCTTTTTTTATTTTTTACACTTCTTGCACCAAATAGTGGATGGTTCTCTCTGTAAATTGCGGTGTCCCTACGAGGTGTCACATGTCTTATATGCTTACTTATTATAATATCTAATTTGTACCACGTGGCATGCGAATAAATATAAATATATAAATAACTACCTCCTTTTTTTCATTTCTCCTCTTCCCAAAAATTTACTGGAAGACTATTCTTTAAGTGGTACAAAAAAGGGTAAACTAATTAATATGGAGGTAATTCTTAAAACTTCTTTCATATGCAGTTTATATATTTATTATAAAGTAATTATTCATATACGTAAGCATGACTAAAATCATTGCAGGATTTACATTAGTACTACAAAAAACATAATCCTTATCATCAACATAATCATCATATATCTAGATTGTAACCCTTAATGAGAAGATATTGGTTTCCGAAACCGATTCTATTGTAATTCAAACATTCTAATATTTCTGCTTTTCCATAATGCTGCAAAAAGAGGGGTGTTATAAGATGACATGTCTGTGTGTCTCTCTGTAGTATCGTAGCTCCTAAACAAATGGACCGATTATGATGCGGTTATATTGTCTGAAAGCTAAGAAGGACAGCCACAATGTAATCTATTGTGGAATGCTCTGGCTCATATATATATATATATATATATATATATATATATATATATATATATATATATATATATATATATATATATATATATCTATTGGGAGACTAATCGCAGATGAAGACTTCGACAAATAATATTGCTATGAAAACCAGAGGTGTTTCAGAAAGAAGTTGTGTTTGCATGGCTGTGCTTTTGGTATATAGATATGTGTATTTCTTATGTATTATTATGTATAATTATTTCAGTATGTTACTATAATTGTCACATATTTTTCACCACACCTGCCCTTTATACGCTTTCTGTTTTTACCTAACAGTTAGCTGGTAGAGAATGCCATATGGCATTAAGCACTCCACTTGTACTAAGTTTTATTGTGCAATAAAGAATAAATAAATATATAGTAAAGTAATTAAAATAATAATTTGCAAAATATTGAATTTAGAAAATTTAGTATTTTTCAATATAAAAATAGTGATATTTTTATAAAATTATAATCTTTAAATAAATGTTTTCGATCGTATTTAAGTACGGATTTAATATTAAATATCGAATTAAGCATTAATCAAGCGAGTAAAGCGATTTACTTTGGAATATAATTTCGAATAGGAAACAATACGACTACCCACTTAATGAAATGTGGAAAACATCATTTAATGAGAATAAGTATCATGGACGTCACAGAATACACTGTGACATCCATAGTACCTACTCCACATGTGTTCCTATTATTGTGGACTAAGCTTTTGAGCTTCCATTCTTACTAATTATTTTTATAAGTACAATTATAAAGTAAAATTTAGTAAAAATTAAATCTTCTCTATAATATGCAGACCTCTATGTACTTACATAAGATTCATTCACCGGCAAAAGTGGATTTTCCATTAACACTGCCTCGTCACTATTGTCTTTGATCATTTTCCCGCGCACAAAAATCAATTAAAAAACAAATTTAAATTTCTAATAAAAGTTTTAGTTACTATATGCATTTTACTAGTCGCACTTTACTACGAATACGCCAAAGAGCGGGCGCGACTGCTTACATATGTGGCTGCATTATTCTGTCATTTCACAGTGCGTTAGTGAGAGACAGAAATAGAGGTTAGAATGAGATAACAACGAGTTCATTGGTGTCTCTTCAAAAAAAAACTAGTTTCCTTATTAATGTTTACTATATACTCTGTGCGGTATAGCGTGGTGCGGGTGAAAGGTCGTTAAACCCTATGTAAAAATATAAACTTTAGTGTAACTTACTGATGCAAAAAAATGTTCATAGATTGTCTTCTACACCAAAAATTTTACCCAATACAGTTCTTTTAAAGTAAAAATAGTCATAATCTCAGCTGTCATACGCATCATCCTAAATTGTGCAGAATATATACGATACGATGTCTATGAGCCAATAGTAAGACAGAAATTATGGCATTATGCACGCGTCGCTGGCCCTGAAAAACTTCTTTATCTCTTTTTTTGAAAAGACTATACACTACAAATTCTCTGGATATTTGATATTTGTAATATATACCAAATTGCATTGGAATCCATTAATTTTATAGAAATCCTGTTATGTATTGAATGTCTATAGGCGACGGAATATCAGGTGAGCCGTCAGAAAGTTTGCCATTCTAAGTTGTATAAAAAAAATATTAAATAAGGAATATCTACCAGAAGAAAGGGATTGTTAGTAACAGGGTCTAATACCCCATTGCTAGCAATATACCTTAACACCTCTCTTTAGCAACCATCGTGGTTATTGTTGATGAATTCGTCAACCAATTGACTTAATTTCATGTTCTTGTTGTGTTTGCAGTCCAGCATATGTATTTCGTTCGATAAATCCTATCGTGATAATCCAAAGAAACTATATTTCAACTTTTTAAAATATTTTTAAACGGAATGTATTACGTAATTTTACATCAAATTTATATTTTGTTCGGTCCTGAAATTTCGGAAAATATTTCATGGTATTATTCATTGGTATTTATTTCTTTCTTTCTAGGCTTTCATATTCACTTACTAACGCCCAACCACAGCACATTACCATTTCATTCTCACCCATTAAAAAAAACATGTGTTTTTTTAATGTAAAAAACAAACTAGTATGTATCAGCCGTTAACGATCCACTACTGAATAGCCTTCACCATAAGTGGGGTATTGCCACTTTCCATCAGGTGGGCCGTCAGTTTGGTGGGGGGAAAGTTTGTCATGTCTAAGAATTGTAGCAAAAAACACCCCATTGAAACTATCATGGTTAATTCCTATAATTCATCATGATAACACCTCTCTCATCTATCACCCTTCACTGGTTAATATCGTTAGAGCAGACGGAGTTACCATCCATTTTCACCCATAAAAAAAAACCGTAGTTTGGTTTTTGTTGATATTTTAAAAGGAACGCTGCTTCTCATCCTTCGACCATAGCTCTCTTAGTTAACTCTTACGACGCCCAGTGGAAAAAAGGGGTAGCCTATACTATGCCAGGATGGGTCCGTGTAGTCATGTAGATAGGTTATAGAATAAGATATAGAATCGGCTACTATGAACGTTTATCAGTAACAGTTATAAATTTTTTTATATTAGTAGGATTAAACACTTTAGAACATTAATCCACTTCTTTATTACAAATTACTTTTAATGGAACAAAAGTGTGGTAAAAATATCCGTTCTTTTCGAATGATCCTATGATGACCAGATCGAAGTAATTCTGAGGCTTTTTCTTGTAAAGTGAACTGAATTACTTTTATCGCGTCGTGTTATTTTAGTTTAATAAGTACAGGAAGAATAATAATTAAGGTAAAATAATTAGTATCAAAAGAAGAGACGAATCGAGAACCTTCTTTTTGACGTCATTAGAATCTGGTAATTGACATATTTCTTTTAAATCATCTGTGACTTTTATGACTTCTATTAGAATATTTTTTTATTTGCTAACCATAATATATTATTGTTAAAATCAAAATACCGTAAATAAATTTATTAGGTACTCCAAATAAAGTTCTATGAACTTAACACATTGACGTAAAATCAACATGTACTAGTTCAGCCAGCTCATTCTTGCCGGTTTTTAATTTGTATTTCGGTTTTTAATATATATATATATACATATATTAATTATTAATATTTGTTAAGAAATATTGTTTCCATATTTTTAAAGATAAACCACCTTACTCTTATAGTCAGATAGAACTTTTTTTACAAATTGTAAAAATATTGAGCTATTCCCTAAAGATGATGTTCTTCAAATTGGATGGATGTATCAGGGTCCGTGCACGTGACATTCCTGGTGACTGTTAACCTTTAGACGGGCTGTATGCCTATTAGGTACCTTCGTTAAATAAAAAAATATTTGTGTTTTTAATCATTATCAGCCGTTAGTTGTCCACTGCTGAACATAAGCCTGCCCCATAAGGAGGGGTTTGCCAGTAGTTGTCACGCATGGCAGGCGGGTTGGCAACCGCAGTTAGGCCTTGGTGATGTTTTAAGAGGGATGCTGCTGCCCATCCCTCGACCATTAAGTTCCCTTAGTCACATTTTACGACACTCACGAGAACGGGAAGAGTGACCCTTTCTATTCCGGAACCACACAGCCAGTTGTTAGTATAGGGACGCTTAATTTTTTTTTTGGTTTTACGACCCATATTTTTATCATGTTCTCTTTTACTGATAGAATACTCCTTCAAATTATTCAATCAATGCCAAATTCATTTTATACATGTCTATATATGCAGATGTATGTCTATTTTTCCATTCATACAATATAACTATCTTATTTACCAGTGACGTATCAAGGCGCAGAGTCCGCCTAATCTCTGATCGTTTGTAAATAGCTTTACCACCGCCGATTGGTGTAAACATAACCGATGTGACAGCTACGTTGTGAGGCTTCGGCTTTCATGTCACGTTAGGGTTGTCAACGAAATTTCCATAAATTATAACTTTCTTTTACTTGCGACTATGTCCGCGTGATGAATTGACACACACAGACTGGAACCCCCCGTTATGGGAGAGGCCTTTATTCAACAGTGGATAGTTAACGGCTGATATGATGATGATGATGATGATGATAATCATTTAAAATTTCTGTTTTATCTTGTCCAATGTATATGTATGGCAACCGCTGAATAGTCCTTCTAACCGTCATATTTATTTTCTATTTATTTTCTTACTAAGTCCCTAGTCAGTTAGAGAGAGAGAGAGAATAGACTAGTTCATAGCAACTGTAGGAGATTAATTTAGAATTACGATTCTCTATCGATATTAATGATAGGGTTGAATAATTTTGTCATGTTCAGAATATTTATATATAATATATTTTAATTATAATTTTTTTTTATTATCTTTAATTCATAGCTGACAACCCTAAAAGTCTACCACCAGTCATGTGATACGCAACGGGTCACAGAGCAATTCATGGCTGTCGCTTCCGCTATAGACACGACTCGATGCTATATTTATTACAAGCTATAGAACCTGCTCATACTCTTAACGGTTGGTATTAGAAAGAAAGAGAAAGAGATATTTATAAAATTTAAACTATAATAGAGTGAAATATGGCTCCGCATTTTCTCTTTTTCATGAACTGCGAGGAAAAGGCTAAGAGATTATATTATCGTGTTGAAATAAAAGCGTAACAGGTTAGAGATTAGCATAAACATGTTTAGACTAAGTTAAGAGTTTAATCTATAAATTGTATAATATGTCGTAAAAATTTGAAAAATTGTGAGGATGGATAAATGTTTACAGGTTTCAAACTAAAAACACTGAAGAAATAAAAGAATAAAAGTCGGTACACGTTTAGGTTATATCATAACTCAGAACATAGGATACGTTGTATTGTCATTCCCGCTAGAGAAACTGCGGGATATTGCTAGTCATCGTTATTATCATCATGACTTTAGCCGTTAACTGTCTAATACTGAGCATAGGCCTCCTCTATTAAATTATATTTTGCTAGCATTTGCCACGGTTGGCAGGCGGGTTGGTAACCGCAATTAGGTTTTGATGTTGTTTAAAAAGGACGCTGCAGCCCAGCCCTCGACCTTTAAGTTCTCTTAGTTGCTTCTTACGATATCTATGGGAAAGGAAGTGGTAACCTATTCTATATTTTGCTAGTAAAGAATAAATATGAGTGTAGTAGCCATGCGGTCCATAAAGTTAGTGAGTTTACATTGGGTAGATATTTGTGTTAATTTAAATTTCCAACTAACACTCCGGTGATTGTAAAATACTGTTAACAAAACAAAGTAATTAAAAATATAGTATTAGGTATTCTTTTAGGGTCAATAATCTTATAAATAAATAGCCATTTAAAACCACATCGTCAAGATCATTGGGGTTCTTTCCTCTAATTTGGGTCAATATTAACAGTTTTGAATTAATTTACCATCTGATGACGTCTAAGAGTCATTAACGCTTTCTCGTCTAACTGGTTCGACATATCAATTTTTGTAACCAACTAAATATTAATATGGGTTATATCTACCTCTTATATTATATAGGTAGAGTGTCTCCATACAAATGCTTCGAGAAAAGCGGGTCAAGTTTTTCGTACAATTTTACGTGATAAATAGTTATGAGTGTTTCCTTTATAACTTCTATATTTATTTCGTTTTATAATTTTTCTATCTTTTTAATGCGTAAAAATTCTTTTTTATTTATTAAATAATTAATATATTTAATTGTACGTCAAGATGTGTGTAAGTATGTAGAACACAGATTAAAAACAAAAAGTTGATCCGTTTTTAAAACTCGATGCTCTATCAATACACTGTTGCTGCACGAAATTGGATGCAGTTTCACAGTTATGTTCCTAAAGGTCTAACTTAGAATCTGGGGGAAAGAGATAGTTAGTAATACGGATTGGCAACCCTATTATTAGTAATATACCATATCAGGTCCCCTTGGAAACCATCGTGATTGAATCATTGGTGAGTTTGTCACAATGGGCTAACTGGATCTGGTTCATCTTCACTTAGCATCCCTCACCAGTGCCCTGCCAGTATATACCGATAGCGCAAGCCGGGTTATTAAAATATGGTGTATATTGTATTTTGATACGTCATATGGAAGTGGTCTATTTTAATTGATTTTCTTACTTCAAAGTTTACGCGTACGAAGTAGTAAGCAAAAAGTCAGTCGTTCATAAAAAAAAAAATATTTAAGTAATAGGTCTTCGTCGGAAATGCGTTATACAGACCAATCTGTATAAAGAATTCATAATAATGAAGAACTTGATTTTATGCAAAATGTTAAATCATTAACCTAATTTATATATCCGTTATTATGTTAATGAAATAAAAGATATGGAGTGATTTATACGAATGATTCGCATCGTCTCTACCGATTTTAACCACAGTCTAAAAGAACTATAAAATCAACATCTGAAACTCGGTTCTTAAATAGCCCAATTTGAGCGTGTATATTGTGTCTACAATACTCTCACTATAAAAAGAAAACTCAGGAATTATATAATAAATTTTATTCACAAAAAAATATATATAATGTATATACATTTCGATTACATCAATTCACTCATAAATAAAATTCTTTTCTATTTTATGTATATAATTTTATAATGGTCACCAATGTATTGGCCGATTCATTAAATAATAAATAAAATAAAACAAAATTTGATTGAATTTTCATCTACTAAACATAGGCTTAATCCAAAAATTTAATGGAACATTATCTGTCTGAAGTTTGTGAATACAGCATTATAAATAGACAGATATTGTCAAAAACGAATTAAGTTTCTAAAATAGGAATACGTACAGTCATTATATATAATAACAAAATTAAGTATACATTTATTTAACACCTATATCGGGCGTAATTATGTTTGAAGTGGTTAAAAAATTCACCAGCTGATAATCCTTCTTTGCTGTAACTGGGAACACGCTCGATCCGAACAGCAGAGTGATCTGGGTTCAAATCTCATTGGATTCAATCATTGGTAGGTAAATTTTTCAACCTACTAATAATTTATTTCGCGCGCCGCGTGCGCAATAAAAGTGCTATATAAGCGAGAAATCTAAATCCAAGGAATAGGAGTACCATGTTGATTATGTCCATTTGGAAGTCATCCTGCAAAAACAATGTTATTAATTATAAATATTATAAAGAAATTTGTATTATTACGTGCATTTGTTCGTAAAAGCTTTACTGTACATTCATATTAGAAACAAGAAAAACAAGTACAAAAAGAAAAATGTAACAATTAAATAAAACGAGAATTAAATTCTGGTAAATTCGACACTATGGCCAATAAACTTTATTCTCACCCTTCACTGGAACTACACCCGTGTGGACAACCAAAATTTTCTTCTGCAACATTTTTCCATTACAACCCTCTTGCTTTTTATCTAATATTTATCAATTTTTTTTTATGTTAACCCCAAAATCCTTTTATTGGCTTACCTCAGAGAAACTCAGAGTCTCGAGTACGACCTGCCCAGAAGCAGGACATGTGAAGTTTTCTCTTGTACATGCAATGGAATCGACTCCAGACCATTGGTTGACCAGCAATGCTTCGTTTCCGTATCGAAACCAGGAAAGGTAGGATATCCAACTGAGATACGGCGGAACGGACCTTTAAAGATCACAAAGATGATTAGCAAGTCACAGTGCATCTTATGAAAATTTGCTTTCCATAGAATTAACTAAATATGCTGAATATGCTACAATGCAGCTTTTTCCATTTCTTATATACATTAATGATGTTGGAAAAAGTTTAAAAATAGAAAACATTTCTACATTTACAAGTAAGAAAAAATTTTGTTTAGAACATTATGAGAAGTCAAATATATTTGACACTGATAAATTGTTAACCTACGGTTAACTAAGAATTGGAGCTTCAAATCATGCTCTTGCTGCTTGGCTGTAATGGAATACTTTTCCTGCTTTTAATATTTTCGGAGCAATAGAATTGGAGACTCTTAAAGTCGATGGTAAATGATTATAAAACTAACAAATCTAACAGCTATTAATGTTAACAGCTAGTAATAAAATGTTTTGGTAGACAATCAAACCTACCCAGAGTTTAGGAAAAATCCACCAAAGAGCATAAATGGTATGATGATTGGGGGTCCCACTGAGGCAGCCATGCTCACACTGCTGCTGGCACACGATATCAAGTAACCTGTATGTAATAATTAAATTTAAATCATGCTTTTATACGCAGATCCTAAAAATAAATAATTGTTAATGAACCAGATAGTTAGACAAATCAATAAAGCGAATTCAATATTTACATCCATAATCGTACAGGAATATTGTGTGTAGTAAGATTATATATGAAAAGTTGCAGTTCTAGAAAATTATTCACCGTAAACTAACAAATCGCATTATATCAATAAAAACTTTGGAAAAAGATCATTAATGTACTTATGCTCTGAATTTTTTAATAAGCGCTTTTGTGTGTAATTTACAACATAATTAAATTCTAGCGTAAACTAATTGGTGGATAAAATGATAACTTAATACCAAAATACTAATACTATTGAATCTATACTTAAAAAAACATATCCTGATTCATTAGTTTAATTACTGTTGTAGTTCACTAATTTATCGCCTAAACTAAAGTCTAAAAACGTATTTTCTGAAATTGTCAAAATAGTAGTTGATAATTTACCAAATGACGTGGCAACATTGGTGATGAGTGCAGCCAAGCCTGAAGCTATGAAAAATCTCTCCGGTGCAGGATTCAACCCTATCATGTAATAAGCTATGGTAGTGAACACGAGTGGTATGGTGGCGAACACAGGAGCCTCCGCTAAGGTCTTGGATAAAAAGTAAACATCAGCTCGATACATCCCGTTGTGGTGTTCCCGAATGAATATTGGCAGTTCTGAGCAGAAGACCTGACGAAGTGGAAAAAGTAAATTTGTTACGTAAAAAATAACATAAAACAATAAAAAATTATAGATTCTTAATACGTCGTATCTGTCTGTCAAGTTAGTATGATCGTTTAATACATCCGATATAATATGTTCTTGTGAAAAATATTCAGTTTCGGTGGTAAAACACTTTTTGAAAAGTTAGTGTTAGTGTTAGTAACATCTAGTTCAACCTATAAATACAAAATTTTGCAATTAGGTAAGCAAGAATTTTTTATGTTTTTAGGTCGTTTTATATTTTTTGATAATGAAATATTTTTTACAAATTTTGTGACTTACAAAATCTGAATATAGCTTTTATAGATATATGATTTGAATACAGCTTAGTTTAGTTTTAGTTTCTAGAGCAAATAATATATAACTTACATTTATAACAGCGAAAATATTCTGAAAGGTCATATTTGTAAGGAATATAAATATGGCTCCATTGATGTTCATCACGCCGTCTTGATCCAGGTGTTGGCCAAAGTAGATCACACCAATCAGTATTGACACCATCTAACCATAAAATTTACCTTAATTAGAAATATTCTTAATATTAACTGAGAACTTTGAGTGTCTTTTGTTTTGGGGCTTTTCGATTTGCAATAATGGGTTGGTTGGAGAAACAAATAAATTTTTTATTTTAGATTGAAAATGAAAATTAATACAAAAATTGAACAACTTCGTAGCACAGTAGCAAAAACAAACAATTTAAGAAGTTATGTTTTTTCAAGATATATATAATATAACTTTGATAATCAACTTTTATCTCTTGCTTTTTCAGCTATAAAAGTCATAAAACATGTATATCTTGTAATATTAGGAAAAACATTGCTCACCACGAAAACAAAATTGATAAGTTTCAGGAAGTCGAAAAAACAATAAAAATCTGATGTTCTTTTACTTTCTAGTTTTATATATACCACTCACCACAGTCTGCAAGAAGCGCACTTTGATCAACATTGGTTCTTTGGTGACAGATAGCCATGACCGCCATAAAACTGCTCGGAACTGAGCGCACCAGGACGCTTTATATGGGGAACGATGTGACCGAATTGCGGCAGCTCCAGCCCATGCTGCTTCTGTCCATCCACCAGATAGCTTACTCTGTATTGGAAGAGGATAATTTAATAAAATAAAAGCGTTATACGTATAAATCTGGAACCTATTTTGTAAATATAATTATTCAGATTAATATTAGCTTTTCATAAATAAGTTTTAAAATAAAACAATCGAATATAATTTTATTTTCTCTACATATCGCAGAAAAAAAAAAGAAAGAAAAAATAAACTACAATAATAAACAAACATTATATGAACGAGCATATGCAACTAAACGGCTTTATGTTAAAAGTAAGCTTTTAATTTTTGATCATTGACTCTTACCTCACGAAATAATGATTTTTCTGCCTCCGCTGCTATATTGCAACCTATCTCTGACTTGGCAAAGGCTGTACAAACAGTGTCTATAGTATGACGAGTTGCCTCTTCCTGGCCAGGCATCCCCGCTAAGAGTTGTATAAAGTGGTCAGCAGGATTGTAATTTGCTGGACAAGCCGCTCCGAGTCTAACAAATACAGGAATATAAAAATATGTAAAGTATCTTCAATTTATAGGAGAAGGTTGATTTTTAGAATCCCTGCTAACTCTGTTTCTATAACTTGGAAAGACCAAGGATAGGTTAAGGAGCCGATTTTAATTGCCCATTCGGTTCAAATGAATAGACTTTTTAACTTTTCTGTCATTGGTAGGTACTACTTTCAAACTTTCTTTGATATACATATTCATTCTTGTGCATTCGTGTAACACACTTCATTCATTTCAAAATTGGTATCTCAGCTATATGCAATCGTCTTTCCTCTATTTAATTTTGCATTCTAATGTTTCTTAAAAACTAATAAGGATTTAGAATAATATTTTTATATCATTGTATATGCATTTGTAGAGCACAGATTACCTGATATTAAGTATATTATATAGTCAAAAATACTAATGCAAATAGTGTAAATTTAGAATTATCACAGAAATCATTAAGCATTAAATCAAATATTAGACCTAGAAATACGCGGTCCAAACCTGTTACTATCTTTATTCATGCTGAACGCCCTTGTGTATATAGAATCACTTGCATGTCATTTGTCCTACTTTCACATTAAAGGTTACTAGGTAACAAGAGGCTGCATTTGGTATTTTATATTTAATCAAGTTCAATATTCCGAACAATTATACTCAAAATATAAAAAGTGACTTAGTATCTACAGCATTCAAATTTCATCAAAAAAACTAATTATGTGTATTCGTAGCAAAATAATACAGCCCTTTTGATGATAAGCTATATCGGTAACAATAGGATATGACAATAAAATTACAGGGTATAAAGACATAACTCCTTACTCCTCAGGAATGGCAACGCATTAAGGGTATCATGGACAACACAGTATACTCTGTTGTGTAACGGTTATGACTTTTAATCAGGTGGGCCGTCAATTTATTTGCCATTCTAAGTTGCATACAAAAAAGAATATTGCAACTCGAAGATATCACTGGGAATTTGCTGATTTCACTGACGTAACACATTTTAAATACGAAGAGAAATTAAGCACAATATTTTCAATAGCTCAATTCCAATGGGCTACCAATTTTACAGAAGAACTATTTGAAGACTTCAGGCCATCAGGCTCACTTAAATAACTGTAAGAGGGAGTTTATATAACGTGACGTTAATAAATTATCACGGTATAGTAATTATTAAATTTGTCGTTATGCCAATAAAAGTAGATACCTGTGATTCAACGAGATGTTACGGTTATGCCTCACTCAATACAAATGTAAAATTGAAGATTCTACAGAAAAGTGAAATGAGGCAATAAAACGCGGTATACAATTATAAATAAAGAACACTATAGTAATTATTTAACAGCCAACATGGGGAAGATTTACTTACTCTCTGAAGAATTCTGTAGCCTGATCAGGAGAGCCCAAGAATGCTACTCGGCCGTCCGCCATGATGAGCAGCTTATCAAACATTGCGTATAACTCAGATGATGGTTGATGTATCGTGCACACCACCGTCTTTCCTTTTTGCGCTAGACCTTTTAAAACCTGACCGAAATTAAAAGGCACACTTAACATCTATGTACAATATAACACGATCTGGTCACGACATAGAATAGGCCACCTCTCCCTTTCCCGTGGGTATCATAAGAGACGATTAATGAACTTATTATTCGATTGACGGATGGGCAGTTGCGTCTCTCCCAAAACATAATCAAAGCCTAACTGCGGTTCCCAACCTATCTGCCAAGTGTGGCAAATATAGGTAAAACCCTCCAATCTATGGGAGAGGTATATGTTTAGCAGTGTACAGATAACGGCTAATATGATGGTAATGATGATGAAAATATAACAACAAAAGATAGTATAGAATCATGGGTTATATAGGGTAAAGTTAAAAACATCAGCATATTTTTTGAAAGTGTTCTATCAAAGAAATTGAACATCGTTCTAAAGAAGAAGAGAATTATCTTCAGTTATATTAACTTTTAGAATTGAGTTGCATGATTTATGGTTTATAAGAGACGGAGAATTAACGCGATCGCTAAAGTAATGTAAATCTGAGTTTCGTTTAGATCACTTGCCATGGTCACAAGTAACCTGCTAGAAACTCCCGTATCTATCTATCCCTGATCGCATTAATTCCCATCTCTAATAATCCTTAAATCTTCTTTTTTCTTCTTGTCAAATTTCTACTCATGATTTTTTGGAGAAAAATCTTCAGTTTTACTTATAGATCTATCTCTTAAAAGGATTCCATACTTTACGATTTGATTACCTGTATAACATTTTGTGCCATAAATGAGTCCAATCCTGAGGTGGGTTCGTCACAAAACATCAGTGGAGGGTCTGTGAGGACCTCACTTGCGAATGATAGCCTCTTCATCTCCCCACCTGATATGCCTTTCAAACGCCCTGGTATCCCAATAACTGTATTCTGGCATTTTGATAAAGCTAACTGTAAAACAAGACGTATCTTTAAAAACTCATTTACACTTTCAACAGTACATATAAAAGTAGAGAAAAATAAAAATATTATATTTGTACTTAGGTAAATTCAGTGAATTAAGTAAATAATATATATATTTTTATAATATGTAAAAACATTATGTCTAAACTTGTAGTCTTAGTGATATTTGTCCCACATTTCGCCAAGCATTTTAATCCCAACATGGTAGAGAGCGAGTCTACCGCCATCATTCGAATTAAATTAGTGTTGACCATCACTGATGGGTAAGTTAAATATTTAACTTGATACTTACTTATACCTTATGTCATGCACAATGGCTTTACTAAGTTTATTAAGTTTACTAAAAACGTACCAAAGAAAGTCCATTAAAAAAATACAATCGAATTGAGAACTGTCTTTTTAAAGTTGGTTGAAAATAATTTTACCTCGGAAATTACTTCTTGCACTCGGCGCATGCGCTGCGCGTATGGTATATGTCGGTCCATGCGCACTAGAGCCTGTGTAAATAGAGACATTTTATTGTATTTAAGAATATGGTATAAAAATAAAAAGATCTACAAGTGAAAATATTATTCATGCGATAAGCAGACATGTTATTTTAGACACTTCCCATCTCAGTTTCTTTTTAGGAAATAAACTTGATTAAATAAAATACAACCCATGTTATTCGCTGATAATATAGTTTTAGACAGGGATTATTAGTAATGAGATCCAACAGACCTATTACTAGCAACATACCCTAACAGGACGACCTTTACGCGGTTCCTCCTGGAAACCATCGTGATTATTTTTTGATGAATTTATCACGATGGGCCAACTGACCTGCTTCATGCTCACCTATCATCCCTCACTGGTGCCCCGCCAGCATATCCCGATAGCGCAGGCGGGGTTACCATTCCATTTTCATCCATTAAAAAAAATATAGCTTTAGATGAAAGAATTTTTAAATTCTGTTATGTAGGTATTTTTTTTTTAATTATCCATTCATCATCGTCATCATATCAGCCGTTAACTGTCCACTGCTGAACATAGGCCTCCCCTTATTGTAAGACTTTGCCAGTAGTTGCCATGCTTGGCAGGCGGATTGGCAACCGCAATTTGGTTTTGGTGATGTTTTAAAGGGACGCTTCCCTTAGTCGCTTCTCACGACACCCACGGGAAAAGAGAGAGTGGTTCGTTACAAACTCAAAATCAAATCTTTCCTCTATATTAGTTAATATAGATTAAAGATGTAAAGACATAAATGTATTCTCCTTCCATTCCTCATCTCATGTCAACAAGTCACCGTTCGGTATTATTGAATCCAATTAATCAACCGGTAGCATTGTATAAGAAACGTGCACCTACTATACCATATACTTCTCGTATATACACAATTACACATGTCACAATAATAAAGATAAAAAATAAGAGCATATTTACTTTAGTTTTTATCTTTATTTAAATATATTTATTTGTAACGAGATGAGATTCTGATTAAATTTAATACTATTTTACGGAAAACTATTTCAAGTATTTTAGTTTGATGCAGAAATGTATAATAGACTACAAAACAAACTAATCATCCGCCTACCAAGCGTGGCAACTACTAACAAAACTCCTATTTTGAGGGAGGCCTATGTTCCAAAGTAGTGAACATATGATGATAATGATGATGATGATATATAAAAAAATAATATTGTCATTAAAAATTTATTAGTTACAAATCTTCAAATGTTAATATTATCAATTAAAGAAATTTTCTCGAAATAAAAATTTTGTCGAAGCGGAATAGAGACCCTTAGGCAATTGCCTATTCCCGCCCAAGACATTGGATACATAGTGGTACCCTCTGACAATGCCTTTATGCATAAGTAAGGCACCGTATATATATACTAGATGAGTTTTAAGATTATTTTTAGATGAAAACTACCTCGCCTGATTTTAATAAGCAAATGCAACCAAGCATACGGCCCACCTGATGATAAGCGGTTACCGTAGCCTATAAACGCCTGCAATAATAGGAGCATTACACTTGAGTTGCCGATCCTAAAGAAACCTCTTCACTCTTTTTTGAAGAACCCTATGTCTCTTGGAAAATTCACGACAGGGCTTACTTCTCATTCCATAACTTGAGCGTTCATGGAAAGAAACACCTCTAATATCACGCTGTACGCGACCATTCAGGCTCAATAACAGTATATCAGTATTATTTTAAATTTACAGATTAATTTTACCTGAAAAATTAGGTGTTCTCGAACAGTCAAAGTACCAATAAACAAATCTTGTTGCTGAACATACGCAGACAGCGCTGTCAGCGCTTCCGGAGTAGCTGGCTGTCCATTCAGTGCCCTTGTACCACTAGACACTACGCCGCTTGGTGTTCGAAAAGTTAGTGTGTTGAGAAGCGTAGTCTTGCCGGCTCCAGAAGATCCCATGATGGCCAGTAACTCGCCAGGATATGCTGCGCCGTTTACTAAAAGAAGCGTCGCTTGAAAGTGTATACATTTTACACATCGTACCAGTCTTTTCAACCGACTTTGAAAACGGAGATTTTTTTTATGTTTGCTACCTCATAACTTTCTTATTTATAAACCAATTTGTATTTTTTTTTATCTGCGAAGACAGACTGGTCTCATAGAAATTTTATCAAAATCCATTCAGTGGTTTAGTTTTTTAAACCAAAATAATTGGTTTTACTACGGTTGAAGTCGATGTTTTCTTTTGGAATCAAATCTTAAATTATATATTCACTTTTAAGACATTTACACATTAATTAGTGAAAATTATAAATTACATATAAAAAGTATTTATAATTTTTAAAAGAATATTGAAATTCGACACTTAATGCCATCTACATATGCCGAAGGTTTCCGTAGCTAATCGGATACTGATAACGGTAGCTTATAATTCGGCATCATCCCAGTAAGTGGTAACCCTCATATGCTGCTATTAATGAGGGCTTATGTACTCATATACTGAAGTGTATTGTTACTCTATCACATTCTAATGGACTGTCATAATAAATTCTAGCCTTTTCTAGAACTAATAAAAATTTGCAATTAATATTACTTACCATTTTTTAACAATTGTTTTCTCTGCTGAAACATGCCATTGGAAGATGTCTTCCAGAAATTCCAGAATCGTCTCCTGGACCTGGTTTGAGACGCGAACGCGTTGATGTCCGCCCAAGTGTATGTAACCTTCTCCACTCCCCCGATAGTGCCATAGTTACGTGAAAAAGATACGGTAACATCTCCAGTGCCTGATGGTGTACCTGGAGGGGAGTTCCCATCCTGTGAGAGAATAAGTAAAAGAAATACCTACAGAATTTAATTAAAACCAAATTGAGTATAGTAACTTATAGCATTATATGTAAAATAATTTAATACTCTATGAAAATCTTTTAATATTGACAAAATTCTTATGGGATCAACACTGTGAAGCGATACCCTCAAGGAGTTATTAATATATCACTAGATATGGCCCAAATGAGAGGCTAAGCGCGGAAAATGGAGTCCTTTTCACATTCACATCACTAGATATGGTCTCTCTCCGTAAAGGCCACTATATGCTTTTATTTCGAACATTCGTTCTCTTGCACTACACTACATTTGCCGTGTGGTTTCGGCGTAGAATAGGTCATCTCTTCCATTCCTGTGGGTGTTGTAAGAGCCGACTAAGGGAATTTAATGTTTGAGGGATAGGCAGTATCATTCCTCTTTAAACATCACTAAAGCCTAAGCACGGTTGCCAACCCGCACGCCAAGCGTAGCAACTATTGGCAAACGATGTTTTATATGTCATCATCCTTCTATAGATTTGGAGCACCGTCTATATTCGCCCTGTTATATCTGGTGAAACTGTAAAAGCTATCTATGGCCAACAACATTAGACTTATTTGAAAAAAAAAACAGTATAACATACATTGGGCCTTACGTGGATAGACATCATAAGGGTAAAAAGCAGTGGTACCTTTCTTAACATTAAGCAACGAAAGTGACTACAAAAATACTATCTACCCACTCGTATTACTGATTAATCGATCCAGGTTTTCGATTGGCATTGTCATTTTTATGACTTCCACGTTAATCCTTGCAAACAACAAGTCATTGACCAGTGTTGTTCAAATAAAAATTTAACAGAATTATTCTCCTATAATTATATATAGCAAACAAGTTCATGGAAAATGGTAATCGTTGCCTAATGCACACTGAACGTCATAGAGTGCATTGTGATGCTCATGGCACCTCTCAAACATGACTATTCCTGAGGACTAAGGATTCTTCCGTGCCTGCCATAATTTAACACCCTTCAAAACGAAATCCTTACTGTGTGCATGTGAGTTTGTATGTTTATTTGTTTCTTGCCTCTTAGCGCCTTAACAGCTTAACCAATAGCTATGCCATTTAGTATACATTTACTACAGAGAATGGAGAAGGAGATAGGCTACCCTTGTCAATAAATATATCCCGGTCAAGACCAGTACCATGGACATAACAGAGTATACTGTTTCGCCCATGATAACTCCCATGCGTTGCCATTCCTGAGGACTCAGGTGTTACTCCTCTGTACCCAGTAAATTCACGCCATATCCCACCCTTCAAACGGAAACACAGTCATACAAACACAACTGCTTCACGGTTGAAACACAAATGGACCAGAGGTACCCAAGCAATCGACTTTTGTACAAAGTCTCCCTCTGGTATATGTATGTAACACGCTGTAACCACAAACCCATAGATACTAACCCTCTGCAAAAGTATTAATTTCATGAATTTTCTTGAATGAACGTTGCAAACCCCCTTATAGCGACCAATGTATTGGATAATGGCGGAATACAGTTACGCACTAAGAAGCCAAGTAAGCCCGTATAGTGATTATAACTAACATTTGTATACTTGTCTACCTAATTTAACAAATGAGAGATTAGAGGGCGTCTATTTTGGATTTTTTTAAAGTATTTTTTGCACACATTTCTGCAATTAATTATATTTTAATCCATAATAAAAAAAAAAAATAACAGTAATAGATTAAAATTACTTCAAAAATTGTTCAAGTAAATCTTGTGTTCAGAAATAATATTTTTTTTATAATCTTGGAATGGCAATCTTTTTTTTTATACAACTTAGAATGGCAAAGAAGCTGACGGCTCACCTGATGGAAAGTGATACCGTTGCCTATAAACATGAGCAATACCATGGATATAACAGAGTATACCGTTTCGCCCATGATACGCCCCATGCGTTGCCATTCCTGAGGACTCAGGTGTTATTCCTCTGTACCCTGTAAATGCACGCCATATCCCACCCTTCAAACCGAAACACAGTCATGCAAACACAACTGCTTTACGGTTGAAACACGAATGGGACAGAGGTACCCAAGCAAACAATTTCTGCACAAAGACTCCCTCTGGATTATCTTACTACAATTACACGAAAATACTATAATAGCTTCCCCTAATTTGAATGTTTTAGAGTGTGAACAACGGTGTGAAAATATTGGAAGCCAAAAATTGAGTGTTAATTACCTTATAGTATTACTGGGGGTCGTTAATAAGGCATTACGCAGTAAGGTAAGGTTTCCGGAGGTAAGTAGATAAGGTTACTGAAGACCGGTAGCACTAACAGAGGATGTAACACCCATGCTATTTGTGCCCAAACGCTTTTAGGAAGTAGATATTTGAGGCCTAAGCGGACGACGTCTTTTTGTAAGTGGACATAATGTTACTATTTTACTTTGTTTGCTTCGTCTATTTACGTGAAATGAAAGGAATTGTTAGAAAGGAGCACCAGCCAAGCTGATGACTGTCAAATCGATCTTCACGTGGTCAATCCTAAACACCATCATGATTAATTTCTGATGAATACTGAGGGGTGGCCTATTCTATGCCGAGACCACACGGATAATGTCAGTCATGTATTTTACTGTAATTATATACCTCTACAGAGCTTACAAATACTAGAAATATTACCCAAAATTACAAAAAAAAAAAATTATACAAATTCCTTCAAGCTCATTTCACTTTTCTCCAAAAACATCTTCAAGAATTTAATTTCTCCAAAATTTCGCGAATGGATTTTTTTTTTAAATTACGAAAAAAATACTTAATCTGGCAATACTGGACCTAACTTTATCCCTCACTTATACTCCACCATCATATATCGTGAGCACAAACGGGATTACCATTCTATTATTATTATTAAATAAATATACTAACATAAACATCTTATATCACCGAATTAGGACATTAACTTCGACTAAAATCTAACATTCTTTCTAAAACCGGTGCACTTGAGTAAAATTAAATACATAGTTTTGCTCGTTTTTTTAGTCCGGCCACTGACTTGAATGTTGAAATTTAATTTTATAATGTGGCAGATACATTATTGATGTAGCTATCTAAACGCTTTTGTAATACGGTTCACTTTCCTTTCTCCGTATTGACACATTGGAAAATTTCCGTAACATTATCTAAGGAAAGGCGCTTACGGTTTCTACACATAAAAAGGTCTTAGTAAATAAATTAAAATGCTTTATAATATAGAATGCGATATTTCTTAAATTTTGGTTTGTCTTATATATTAGTGCTAGGTCTTTAATATGAATGAATGTCTGTCTGCGCATTATATTTTTTTTAAATGATAATGGAATAGTTACCTTGCCTACGCTAACGATGTACGCTGGCAGGACGCCAGTGAGGGATAATAGGTGAGAATAAAAAGTCAGTTAGCCCATCGTGATGATTACACCTGGGATTCAGCACGATGGTTTCCAGGGGTAACCACGTGGAGGTCAATCTACCAGGGTATGTTGCTAGCAACTGGTAGTCTGCATTACTAACAATCCCTTCGCTCTCTAAACTCATTATATTAGAAGCTATTTGAGTATAGGAGACTCGAAATTGTCGTTTGTTTGAACAGTTTCCTTAAAAAAATGTTCAGTTTTACTGGTAGTGTACTTATAATAATTTTGATCTCTATGCAAATATAACTTTAAATGGCCTATAATATTTTATCTAATCATATTGACTCACAAAGTAAAGTTATTGTAATATACAAGAGTGTATTATATACATACTTCCAAAGCTGTCTACATAGTATTTTACATGCAATAAATCAGGATTTAACCGTGGTCTCAAATCTTATCGTTTAAGTAAGATAATAAATATACATTATATTATCTCGGTATCCCAAACATTTGTCTCGTACTTACAAAGGTAAATATCCATTGTAGTATAGTAAAGGTACCTCTACATATTTCTACAAAAGTTCAGTTTGAAAGTAATTGCCTAGGTAGTAAAATTATAATAAAATTCAAAAATAAAAATTAATAAAAATCAGTATAAAGTTATTAGGTATATTAATTATACTAGTAAAATAAAAAATATAATTGTGTATTTAACCATATAACGTCTTTCAAAACGAGGTTTTAGATCACTTGAGTTTTTTTACATGTCGAAGCGATAGCTCCATCAATTCTTAACCGATTTTAATATATATTTCTTTTAATACAGTCAATGGGATTTACTCTAGAGTTGATCTTACAATTTTGTGTCGATTAAAGACTTTTAAGGAACAATAATCAATTATATACTTTTTTTATTATTTTTTACCTGCGGAGAATTATTGTACGTCACACGTTGATTTTCTACGGACGTAGAAATAAGTGGTTCCTGTTCTTCGCTTGCAATAGTCATATTTAATATTAACTGCACAAATAATTGAATATTATTATAGAATCACTGTCATGGCAAACACAGAATGAAACTAAGTAATGTCACACAGTTTTTCGTTTTGGCGGGAAAGTTGAGAGGACGCGCGCCAGTCAGTATCAATGAAATGGAGTGGTATAGAAGGCTTGCGCGCAGCGACCCGATGCGCCGTACGCGACACTGTTGACTAGTCGAAGTAGATACGTGTGTTTATCACAGACATCATTTGTAGATTGCTTGTTTCATTAAATAATTACATATCTAGATTAACAGCTTTTAGATAATGTCTCCCAATAAATACTGTAGCATAACATGCAATTTGTGTTGTACAACTTAGAATTTAAAACAAACAAACAAGCTATTTATTACTTTTGTGTATATTAATTTCTTAGATTAATTTATATCATAGATTACATGTAGACTTAAGCGATTTATTAACACACTCTTAAATAGTGAAACCAAAATATAATTATTGCTTGCAACACCAAGAACAGTATTTAAAAATATTCACAAGTTTTTTGGATCCTTTTGAACACTTCACACATTCTTACCTTTGCACACATTCGTACACTGTAAGGGTAAAAATTATAAACACCAAATATTCGTATTGTGTTTATTAAAAAATCATGATATAGCAAATAATTATTATTGTAAATTAATTAAACAATATTTAAATGAATTACCTTTTACAATCTGGCTTCTATCGTATGAATACAATGACACATGACAAAGGAACTATTGTATATAAGACTTGAGATGATTTATTTATGATTCTTAACAATATGGCTAACATATCCGTTTTATATTATACCTTATGCTATTTCACAATTATATTATTAACGTAGTTACATTATTCATTCAATTATAATATTATTTGGTTATTTATTCCGTGACGCCTCTATGAAACGGCATTCATTGAAACCCCTCTTTTGATTGATCTAACATAATCATCTTGTAATATACATAGATACGATCCATACGAAAGCTAAGCATAATATTATTTGTATTGTAATCTCATTATAGCATAATGTTAGTTTCGGTCGATTTGTCGACATAAAAAATCACATAAATTATCCATATAATCCAATTCCCCATAATTATTTTTGATAATATCGTACCTATATATAATAATGATGTAATATTATTAATATACGCCGCAGAGTAACACAATAACATTTATAAACTGAATAAACAAATCTTAATTATACAATAATATAAATAAAAATATATTTACAATGAACGGATCGGATGTAATGTACCTATCTAAATCGACGTTATAATAACAATACACTAGTTACATTGTATCAGAATTTAGCACTACATAGGAAGCATTTTAAGTAAGTAATCTTATGAGCTTGTTATTTATTAATCCACTAACAGTGTATGGTCTAGATTATAATTATTTTAATGAATATTGTAGATATTTTTGCTATATAGTAGTGATAATAAATGAGCTATGCGCCATTTTTTATTATTAATAAGATACGTGTTACCTATTTTCAGTATTTAAATGAACACAAAGAAACGGCGTACCCGTATATATTAGATCAGATCTTATTGTTAAAAATATGAAATATTGATAGCTCTATGGATAGGACCCGAGACCGTAAAGCAGCTTGAATCAAGCACTTGGATTTTAAACAAGCCTAAAACAAGATAAAATTTACATAATGCTTGATAATGTTTGAATCTAGGCTAAGATGCTTGGCTCACTATTTTAATGTGATGCTAATAAAAAAACTTCTAGTAATATCTAGACTAACAAATTAATAGAAAGTTCGTTCCACCAAAACAAGTGGTAAAAGAATTTATTCACAAATACATATTTGCAACTTCGTTTATGAGACTAAAGGATAGAAACTTCCAACTTTTTATTTATATATTTAACACTTTATTGCATCAAAATTACACGACTTGTTAAAGAATTTTCGATAAGTATAGTGTAATACGAAAGGCGGTCTTATTGCTAAGCAATCTCTTCCAAACAACCTTTGGGTAGATGGAATTAAAGAATAAATAGGTAGGCGGCGAATTAAAAAAATAGATCTGAAAAATAATATAAAATAATAAATATCTGTGTAAATAAACAAGTTTTATTCTTTCTTTACCACCTCTCTAAATAAAAAAATATAAATTTCGACAGTTTAACATACTAATGAAACTGCTTAATTTAACAAATTTCACAAGCTGCAAAATCTATGCGCTTTATTCAAGCCGTTCGGCCGTCTAGGAATCTCTTAAAATCCGAGTGCATTTGATTTAGGCTCGGTGGTATAGCTGGGTATATGGTGAAACTGTCAGGCAGAAATATTATTTGATGTAGATGAGTGAATTAACAAAGAAATCTATCTATGTTTATTGATACGTTGTCGCGTAACTTACAGCGTTGCAGACAAAATTTTACACTGTTTTTGATATCGTAGTGTCAAAAATAGTTGCCAACCCTTGTCTGAGAACTGTCTATAAGGAATTAAAGACTAACTAAGTGCAATCAGAGTATAGTATTAGAAATCTAGCAGAGATATTGAGAAATAAGATGTCATAACCATATATTCATCATATGGAGAGTCAAGACTCAACAAATGTCCCTAAACTCACGCACACATTGGCAAATCGCGTATATGTGTGATTTATGATACAAATTCACTCGCACAATAAAAAAAAGTTACAACTGTTTTTGGCGAACAGTTTATAGAGAAACACTCCATCTAGATGCTATGAATCTACGGTAATTTACCGGCAGATTAATAATTTCGTTTCAAATGTAGCTGGTATAATCGTTTCTTTTAATGTAATCAAGCATTTCCTGTCCAACGGACGACCATAGATCCATTCAATTGGCAGTAATCAAACGATAGCCTTTTAACTGTATATAGAATCGTTAACTAATTCCGTTACTATACGACAGTTTATGTTAAAATATTGTTCGGACTACGACGGAAGTTTTTTACTATGGAAGTATTGAAGGACTATACGACACAAATGTAGTTAAAAGTTATATTCACAATTGTGCAGTTCCTTATAGATCATTTAAAATGTAGTTACACGACTGGAAATTAACGACCTTATGCCCTAATTCCACGGTCGGTGTTTTGACACAAAAGTCGGTAAGGATCAAAAGATTATCCGCTCATATGTCAAAACTTTAACCGAACATTTCTGAACTATATTAATATTTAAACGTCTCACAACATGAAAATAATATGTTTTAAAGTATATCGTATAATATCATTCTATTGCAGTTAATTCATATGCTATGACGATCAGTCTACTGTTTACTGTTGGCAGTGTGCATTGGCTGTAGATATTGTTCGATAAATTTTAACAAGTTTCCTTTTTAATCCTTTGCACTCCAGCCTAGTAACTCATAGAGGATACCAGTAACTCATTAACTTGACAATAATTTATTATAATGTAAACTTTATAAGCATATCATAAACACTATAGGGTAAACACGGTTTCGTTTACCTAAGTCTTAAAACGCTGAGTCAGTAAAACAAGCGTGTCGCCGAAGCCGCGACAGTGTTTTTAATGTTAGCATTTTAATGTCGCAAATACGGCGACAACGGAGTGCAAAAGGTTAAACACAGAGGGGCAAACGAGCATGCGGTTCGCCTGATGGTAAGTGACAACCGCTGCCTATGATCACCTGCAACACCAGTGGCATTGCAGGTGTGCTGCCGGCCTTTTAAAAAGAAATATGCTCTTTTCTGGAAGGTTATGATGACGTATCGGTTCGGAAATACTGCTGCTGGAATTTGACTCCAAAGAGTGGTAAGAGCGACATGTACATTGTACATTTATAATATTTTTTTCTGGAACTTTAAAATCCATTAGTTTAAAATCCACTTTAGTTTATTTCAAGTAACAACTTTCACTATAAATTTATATTTTTCAATCGACTTTAAAAAAAGAATGGCTTCTCAATTCAGTTTTTTTTTTTTATGGTTTGTTACGTTATAATTCCATCATTTAAACCTTTCTTTCTCTGAAAGATAGTTACGTAATAATTTTTTTATCAAAAATCGGTTCATTGGTTTAGTTTTTAAAACAACAACTGGTATAGTCACAGTAGTTTCTTTTTACAACACAGGGGGCAAACGATCATGCGGCTCACCTGATGGTAAGTGACTATCGCCGACTATGGTCACCCACAACACCAACGGCATTGCAGGTGTGCTGCCGGCCTTTTAAAAAAGGGAATATGTTTTTTTCTTGAAGGTTATGTTGTCGTATCGGTTCGGAACGACAGCATAACCTTCAAGAAAAGATATTAAAAAAGGTTCAAGTCGATTTCTTTTTTGTGGTAGAAAATCTTAAATTATTCACAAACTAAGGACGTAGTAATTAATAGTGCGTCGTACGCATAAAGGATCTATTGGCAGATGACCTGAATTATCCGATCTAATAAGCGAGACCACAACCACAAAGCGGTATGTTCGTATTACTTACGAGATAGCTTAGTAACTCAATATTGCTCTGTAGGTACATTATATTACTATTATATAATATTATTATTATTGTAAGGGTGAAATCGTAACCATTATCACATTTTTTGGGAGTTTTATACTGGGTATACTATTTTTCCGCAAGACTCATGGATCAATAATTAAAGATTGTGTCTCACAAAAAACAGTCTTTGATTGTAACAAAAATAGTTATTTTGATCTAAAGTTTAAACTACCGAACCGATTTTGACCAAACTTCTATGGGATCAATCTGTAAGTATAACTTTTGAGATAAAAAAAAAGAATTTTCCAAATCAATTTAAAACTAACGGAGTTAGAAATAACAAACCTAAAAAATAAAACCGAATAGAGAACCACCTATTTTTTAAAAATCGGTTAAAAATATGACAAAAATTCATGACCTTTCGATACTAATTTGATATATGCTATGTTAATATATGATGCACAATTTTTTTTCAATTTCCAATCCCTATTTTTTTTTTTTTTTGGAAAAAAATATTCAGCTCTTCCGATAAATAGAGTGTAATGTATAAAGCAAACAATATAAATAACAAACAATATCTACAGTTTTTCATGGACTGTAGCAAACTAAACCACATTTGTAGAATTAGTTGCCGATATTGGCAATTACATTACCTCAATAAAATATTTTCATCGCCTTTTCATTTTCTGAATGGTATACTAAATAGCGAATTCACAGAATATGTTTAAACTATATTTGATGTCTCTACAAACATTGATTATCCTGTACAAATTCCAGATACTTTCTCCTAAATGGCATTAATTAAATCTGTTAAAACGAGCGTTAAAAAAAAAAAACAGCCAAATCGGTCCAGCCGTAAATAAAGTCCCGTCAAATTTTATCCTACTCAAATTTCAGGGAAAACTAATTTCGGATTATCTAATCATAACCAAGATTGAAGGTTAGAATCCAAAAAATATACTCATACAAGATGGCCATTTCTTATCGATTCAAATATAGCTAAAAACAATTCTGCGATTCCCGATGTTTGGCAATCTAACTTATTCTATTGAACGAGTGATATGTCTAACATAATAGAGGTATTGTTACTGTCTTTTGAATATTGTTTAGTATGCACTTATTTAATATATAGAACATTAATTGTGACAGATATTAGGTAGTGACATTGGAACTAATATTGCGCAACGATGTACTTGAATTTCAACATGTCAGAATCGATTCATCTTGACAACAATATTTGAATAAATTAATTTAAAATCAATGTTGAAATATATGTGAAAGACACGAATAAATCTATGCACAAAGCGTCAATATAAAATGTTTGATATTTTTCTTTATTTTAGATAGTTACTTGTTTTTTTTTTTCAAGATGATCACTTAAATATGCAATTGTCATTTTAATTTCTTTCTATTTTGTTTGCTGTTGTGCCACGAATATATTTAAAAACCAATGTAGGTATATTAATTAATAAATAAATATTTCAAAATCGACTACTTTATTATTGGTATAAATATATCGTTGCATGAGAAGAGTTTAGTGAAAACAAATATATTAGAAACGTGACTACATTAACGTTCGGCGAATGCCTTGCGTCTACAAATGGATTACTTAGTAGACTAGTCATTAAAATATTGATATTAATTGATGTATAACTTAATAAAATGATTGGGAGCTGCGGCTATTACGTCAATTTGGCTTTTGATTAAAAAGAAAAAACAATCTTTCAATTAAATTCATTGATCCCATAATACTTATTAATATATATATATATATATATATATATATATATATATATATATATATATATTAAAATATATATTAAAATTTAGTATTTATGTATTATGTGTATGTAGATGGGTTTAAAAAAATAATAAATATTTTAAGATTGTGTTAAAAAAAATTACTTCAATAGGAGCTAAACCAGGTATTTTGATTTAAAAAATAAAATACAGAACAGATTTTGTTAAAATTTCTAGGAGACCAATTAGAAAATATATCCGTTCAGTTAGAAAAAGAACTTCCCAATTTAGTATATGGCTCACGGAGTTATGAGGTGATAAATATATAAAAAAAAATCCAACGAATTTAGAACATCCTTCTTTTTTGAAGTCAGTTTAGAGTATATTGATGAAATCAAAAAACCAAAATCGACGAAACAAGCCACAGCCTACCGCAAACACACCAATATATGGCTGGCATTCGATTTTACGGCAAAGCATCAGCACTAAACCAGCTAGCATAAAATTTACCTATCTATCCACAACTGCTGTAGCAACAACTTAACGCTAAAATATCATAAGGCATATTCATTCAAATGTTTCATATTAATCGACACTATGTACCTATGTATATTTCACTAGAATTTACCGTTGAGTTTACATCGACTAAGTTTATCTAACCGGTCGATAACTAGCTATTTGTTGATAGAAATAATTAGAAAGCGGACACGCGAAATGAGGATAAATTATCTGGTATTGTTCACACGACACCATGAGGTAGCATGAAGAATAACTTAAAACAATATTTACTCTGATAATAAACGTTATAATACTGCTAAAACTATTATAAATATTACATTGAAGGATAGAGATAGTCGAATCGATATTTGTTAAATTAATCCACTGTATTATTATTATTATTTCAGCCGTTAACTGTCCACTGCTGGACATAAGACTTCCCCATAAGGGGAGTTTTGCCAGTAGTTGCAACGCTTTGCAGGCGGGTTGGCAACCGAAGTTAGGCTTTTAGAGAATAGGCCACCCCTTTCTTTCCCGTGGGTGTCGTAAGAGGCGACTAAGGAACGGCGAGGGATGAGCCGCAGCGTTCCTCTTAAAACATCTCCAAAACCTAACTGCAGTTACCAATCCGCTTGCCAAGTGTGACAACTATTAACAAAACTCTCCTTATGGGGAAAGCTTATACTCAGCAGTGGTCAGTTAACGGCTAAAATGACGATATATGCTAGTGTAACAAAATTATTATACCTCGACCGTCTTTCTTATGATCAATCAAACCTTATTTCAGACGTAGTCAAATAGGTGAGCACATATTATCTACTTAATATTATTATATTTAATTCAGCATTGAGCCTATTCGCCTCACGATTCGACTACTCTATCCTTTCCCAAATAAAACTCTGTCGTACACAACATAATATAGGGTTGCCAGCAATGTAACTCATCCGTTACTCCATTAGATGATTTGGCAACCATTGTGATATGTAACACCCTGTGTAAGGGTAATTTGTAACGGATATTCACTGGATAACATCACTATCCGACGTCGAACGGTTGAATTACATTGACCCCTTCTGAATCATACTTTGCATAAATAAATCTAATTAAATGTAAACCCCTTACAAATACAAACGCTAAATAAATATATTCGGTTGCTAACGAACGTGTAAAGCCATCTTGTAAAGATTTGACATTAAATGTCAAATTAGTATGTCATTTATCAGCAAGTAGCGTAATTTTAGAAGGGCATATACGGATTGGAAATTTTCACCGCGCATTTTTTCCTACACAAATCTGTAGTATGAGAATTGTTTCATTTTTTTTTCTGCAGTGTATATATTTAATTGGCTCAAACAACAGTAAATAATAGCCAATATTAAAATATGCATAGATATTAAGAAGTATAAATAATAGACTCGATTATAAAGTGTCATCTCGATCCTAAAAACGGCGAAATATTTATTCTTAGAATTTATTCATATATATGTATATGTAATATATATATATATATATATATATAATTATATTACATATACTTCTTAGGTAGTCTATCCTAACAGATTACTAGACGTAATTAAATTGTTAATTCCAAAGATAAAAAAGAATAAGAAAAAGAATGTTGCCTCAAAATCGACTGCACCCCAATACAACATTATATAAAATTATACCGCACACTGCAGAGAAGAAAAAGCGCAAAAATATTCAATGCGCGGTGAAAATATAAAGCGTATATTAACCTTAAGGGGTATATTAAAAATTAGCTAAGTTCTTTCATGTTTACTCAAAGCGTATGGCGGCGGCGGCTCTTCCTATATAACCAACCATTTTTTCACCCACCATAATCACATCTATAATATACAGATGACACTTAAAAATTACTTTACACTAAAAACCATTCATTTCCGAATTCTTAATCTAAAATCGCTTTAAATATACATTATAAAACATTTAGTTTCTTTGGGCCTAAAGGCGTCACTTGAAATCATTTGTAAAATTTTAATCTGCAAAGACTGAAATATTCGATTAAAGACATTGCGAAAATGTAAAGACCGTTTTATACGGTTGGTATTATTGACATTATGGCAAGAAGTAGCCCATTTAAAAGGGTATTTATTATTATGTTGGCAACATCGGAGGTTAATACTTATTTTTACAGAAGTAGAAAACAGAATAATCAACCGCGTAGTTTGGGAGTAGATGGCGCTGTGTGATATGTTTTAATCTGTCTCACAGCTCACACAGAAACTATACGCCCATTGTTTCAGCAATGACGATGCGTAATTTCGTTTTCTACGCTTTTTATAAAAATAAAGGCAACTTCACTTCGCGAAGATGAAAACTAGCGATCGGAGATGAAAATTATATTTTGTCCAGTCCTCACAATTTTTTTTTTCGCTTTCTTTTATAATAGATATAAAATTAATATTAATTTAAGCTTGTCATGTACCTCTACCGTTTACCGAAAATTTCCGTTTCATCTAAGCAGTAAAAAAATTAACAACAAAAGGATTTCATCGAAACAATAATAATAATAATAAATTTCGTAACAATTAAAATTAGAATTTCTCAACTACCTAACATGCGCATACGCAGCATGTCTATATCACAGCCAAATCAGCCGCCGCCAACCTTACGTACCAACTGTGGACCCTTTGATGCAATGATTGTGTGAGTGAAGCGACGATCGTTGTGTGACGTCACTGCGACTCCGTGACGTCACTTCGTTAAAGCGCGTATGCATTATTACTAGCCACATGATTTTCGGCATTGATATATTAATTACGACAATTATGGGTCGCTAGTAAAATAATGAAGGGCCCTGTATTATTTCTATGGTTATATAATAATTAACATTACCTTTGTTACGTTTCACAGGAAATAGTTTTATCTCTCAAATTATAGCTGTACATACTCTAGGGTGGTTGTTTAGATTAATAAAAAATTCAAATTTAATTCGCTCGGTTCGTGTTTTTTTTTTTTTTTATTTCATAGGAAAACGTAACAAAGACCACAATGTATACAGCTATTAATCCCGCCGCGAGAGCACACATTTCCCTTGATATCATATTCCTTATATCCATAACTATCAGTCTTAGCAAGCTCGTCCCGCTCACAATTTTTTTTTTTTTAATATGTGTATAAAACAGATAACTTAGGAAAATATAGTGTCAATTGACCTTTTTAATTCAATCACCTAGGAAATTGTAACAGGACTTACAGAGACTCAGAATGAGTAGTACTACTTTTTATTGATCTCAAAAAATAGAGGACCTATTAGCAAATTTTTAATATTAGAAAAATAGATAATTTTGTATACAGAACTCGCAAATAGTGACTACAATGTATTGCAGAGGTAATAAAAAATGTATTAAAAATTATTATTCATTGCAAATTTTAATACACATATTTTGTAAAATAAGCCTAGATTTATAACATTTGTTAGTATGTTTGAAATATTTTATAACTAACTGATAGTCGTAATGATAATAAATTGACTTATGTAAGTAGCTAACATTTTAATATATAGAATGTACAAATAAATAAAATATAAATATTTACAGATTATTATAATACAACAACGCACAATTAAATATGAAATTAAAGGAAATTAATTTACCCATTTTTAAAATAAGTAATGTAAGTATTTTGTCGGCTCAAACTTCGAAATCTATATTTTGATGTTTCGATCAGTGCTTATACTAACGACATGTTGAGCTTATAACTTTGTATCTTATCATTTAATTGATATTTTTGGCAGTGTAAAATTAAACCTAATGAGAGAATCGAGTGAACGGGACCACTCTTATAAAAAACACTTATCCTCACAAGACTAGCCGAGCCCATCGCGGCGGGAGCCGTCGTTCCATTATTAATCTTAGCGCGTACATCGATACCATTCAATTTTCGACCTTATGAAATCGTGCTCTAAAGACTTAATTGTTAAAATGCTATTTACAAACTACAAAATATTAGGAGAGAATCAATAATAAGGAACCAAAGAAAATATAATAGAGTTGAGAACAAAATAATATCAAGCTATTGATTGGATGCACAAGTACATAAAGATATGTATATATATTTGGTGCAAATAATAAATGATCTATCAGTTGATTAGGGTTATTGTAGAATTCACAAAAGAGCCATTAATATAGTACGCATATAGTGTTTGTGCTAATAACCGATAGATGGCATTAAAACAAATAATATATTCTGCAAAAACTCAAACTCTTATTATTGTTGGTCTCTATTCTGTTATTGAAACTCCCCTTTTGATAACTCCATCATATACATAATAACCTGCATGTCGGCAATATAATAAATGTATTGACATGGACTATTACTATTCACCATATATTTAGGAACTAATACAATAAACATTTTATTGCACGATTAAAGAAACCAACGAAATGCACAAAACATTTCTATAGTTAGTACCTTTAGTGCACGACAACCTAAGTCGAATCCCGTTGTAGACAGCACAAATGAGCTAATCAGACTGTTACCTCTTTAGCACTGGTACGTACATCACTAGCCGTTCATTTCACCAAGCGTGCGTCGTTGGGAAATGAACGTAACGGTGTAAGCGGTAAGGCTCGTTTTACAACGTCTGTGGGGCATGTTTCGGCGGCTGCCGCTTGAGCCGCCGGCTCACCGGCCGCTGTCAGTTGTTTTTGTCGATATTATGGAACGCCCAGTTGAGCGATGTCGTCCATGAGTTCTTCATCGCCTCGCTGAACTTCGACCTGAAGTGCTCCATGGCTTTCTCCTCGGATAAATCCATTACCTGTGTAACAGATTAGTATTATAACACTTATCGCTGTTGTCCTTGCTGATTTATTAAAAATATATTGATGGATTTATTAAGAAAATATTTTGTCCGAATAGTAGAGGATATTGGGGTAAATATGTCTGTGTCCTAGATAGTGTCAATTGTTTTGTTCCATTTTGTTAAAAATAAATTGTTTACTTTAGAAAATTGGAAATTTATTATTATTATTTTTATTAAAACTAATAAAATAAAATAAAATATCATATGAGTCGTTAACTGTCAAGGCAGTTGTTGTTGTGTAGTTGACATCCACATTAGGCTTTTGGAGATGTTTTAAGAGGGATGCTGATGCCCACACCTCGACCTATATGTTCTCTTAGTTGCCTCTCACAATACACACAGGAAAGGAAGATATAGCTCATTCTATGTCGGGACTACATGGAAAAACTACTGTAATTCATATAATATTTTTAATGTTGCATTAATTACTTATCAAACATATTTTAACAAAAAAAAAGAAACAGAAAATTTCAGTAAATGATTGAACAAAACAAAAAAATATTGCTCAATATATTTTCCTGTAACTTTAAAATATTTTTATATATGTGTACACAGTAGTAAATGTACATTTTCACACTTTACTCACGAGAGTTTCTCTAAGGTACTGCAAGTCCTTCTCGGAGCTCAGCTCCCGAAGGCCGGTAGAGATCATCATCGAGAAGAGAGACAAGATGAGGTGGCCATGCTTTCGGAGTATTCTGAATGCCTGTAGTGAAACAAATAACAATATATAATATTAATATAAATAATAAATGACAATATTGTTTATTAATAAATAATGTGATGATAACTGTTTTGTATGAACTTTACAAAACAATGTGGGTTCTTCAAAAAGGATATATTTAGGTTTCTTCAGAGTCGGTAACGCGCACATAACATCTAGTGTTGCATGGGTTCCACAGGCTAGGATAACCGTTTACTATCAAACATATATATATATATATATATATATATATATATATATATATATATATATATATATATATATATATATATATATATATATATATATATATATATATATATATATATATATATATATATATATATATATATATATATATATTTTATAAGTTTGAATATTTGTATTTGGAAAAAACGAATTTTATTTATAAAAATATATTTTATTTATAAAAAGAATATACTAACCGTATCACAGTGCTCTTTGAATATCTTAAAGTCGATGGGCTCATTATCGCCCGAGCCCCGCTGCCCCTTGTTGATCACGTGTATAAAATCGTGCGTAAGAACGAACGGCACACGTTCGCGCTTAAACCCATACTTCTGTTTGAAGTGGCCGAGGAAATGACCGAAGTCTATGTGGAATAGCTGGTTGGAAAAAGAAGAATCACTTAAAGTTTACATTTCTAATAATTTTGAAATTTTTAGAATGAGAAAATCATACGCGTACTTGAGACAAATAACTTAGTTCTCTCGCCCAAGTCTGTACGCGACCGAGAATGATAATTACATATAAAACACTTCATAAATAGCTTTACGGTAACAATTTTATTAGAATTATAACACTTCAAAAGGATAAAACTTTTAACCATTCTTGATGTATTAACACTGATCTACTTAAACATAAGATGTAATTTCTTCATATATAGCTGTTAATTATCCACTGTTGAACATAGATCTTCGTCCAACGAGAGTTTTGTCAGTACTTGCCAACCTTGGCAAGCGGGTTGCCAACTGCAGTTAGGCCTTGGAGATATTTTAAAAGGGATACTGTTGCCCATCTCTTTACCATTAAGTTCCCTTATTCGCTTTTTACGACATTTACGAGAAAGGAAGAGGTGGCCTATTCTATGCCGGTACCATACGGTAATTTTTTTTCATATAATAACAATAAAATTATGTGAGAAAGACTCTAATTTTCCGTGCTTAGCCTCTCATTTGGGCCGTTGTGCGTAACAATAAAATTATAATATTTCACGAAATAAAAAAGAACCAACCTATCTAATTTATGTCTAAACATATGTACAGTGCAAATGAACCATATTCTCTCTATCCCTTATTAAATGTATATTTTTTTTTTATATAACTTAGAATGGCAAACAAGCTAACGGCCCACCTGATGGAAAGTGGTAACCGTCGCCTATAGACATGAGCAGTACCATGGACATAACAGAGTATACTGTTTCGCAATTGATACCCCCATGCGTTGCCATTCCTGAGGACTCAGGTGTTATTCCTCTGTACCCAGTAAATTCACGCCATATCCCACCCTTAAAACCGAAACACAGCTATGCAAACACAACTGCTTCACGGTTGAAACACGAATGGGACAGAGGTACCGAAGCAATCGACTTTTGTACAAAGTCTCCCTCTGGTAATTGTGATATAATCCACTTTGCTCCGCTTGGCCATTTTTCTAGCTTTGATCTATCTTTCATCTAGTAATATTGATGATCAAAACTTGGCCTTTTATAACAATAAATAATTAATATAGGATTTGAAATTAAGGTATAAAATAGAATCATGAAGGACAAACCTGTCCACTTTTCTTAACCATAATATTGTCCGGGTGTCGGTCCGCGATACCGAGGACGTAGGTGGCGACACAGTAGCCGGCGCAGCTCATTGTGAACTCGTCCACTGCTTTGTTGAACGCCGCCTCGTTGGGACGCCCGCACTCGTCCTCTGTCTGCTTCTTTAGCCATTCTGAGGGATACAAATACAATGACATTAAAGTAGACCTGCAGTTCCACATAGCAATACACTACTTGTTATTTTGTACTAGCAAATCGGAGAAGGTATTGTTAGCAACAGGAAATAGCAATCACATTGCCAGAAATCATCATCATATCAGCCTTTAACTGTCCACTGCTGAACATAAGCCTTCCTTTTGGGGGGAATAGAGCCAGTAGTTGCCACGCTTGGCAGGTGGATTGGCAACCGCAGTCAGGCTTAAGAGATGTTTTAAGAGAGACGCTGCTGCCCATCCCTCGTCCTCCTTTGGTCGGCTCTTACGTCACCTAAGGGAAAGGAAGGGGTATTATGGGGGGCCTATTCTATGCCGAGACCACATGGCTATTGCTTATAATATACACAGGTGTATTTTTTATAAATGTTTTTACTATAACATTAAAATAATTACATAAGAGTATACAAATATATTATATTTGATATAAATAAAATGAAATAAAAGGTGAAAGAGAAATTAATCAACATTGAATGACATTTTAGAATCAATCCCCCTAATAGTATAGTAAATCAATAAACTTACGTAGCAAAGTCCCTTTGTACATTGTGGAGGCGGCTTGGAACATGGCAGGTTGTTTTTGTATATTAGCAACCGTTTCCGCGTCCTCCACCACCTCGATCATACCCACTTCGTTCTCCATTGAAATACAATTGTATGGACTTAACCTGAAAAAAAAAAATTTTTTTTTGCGAAATTTTCTGAAAACTTGGTGTAAATGAAGTTATTTATTTTCATTATAATATAAAATAAATTAACAAATAAGCATAACAAAAACAATAGAGGTTTGTCTGATTGAAAAAAAAATATATATTTTTTTTTTATACAACTTAGAATGGCAAATAAGCTAACGGCCCACCTAATGGAAAGTAGTAACCGTCGCCTATAGATATGAGCAGTACCATGAACAGAACAGAGTATACTGTTTCGCCCATGATACCCTCCATGCGTTGCCATTCCTGAGGACTCAGGTATTATTCCTCCGTACCCAGTAAATTCACGCCAAAAATGTATAGATATAATTGAAATAATTCAATCAAATAAAACCAAGTATTAGGGCTTTTGTTTCCAGATATTTGTCTGATTACTAATAACACATAGTTTCCTGGTTATTTCAATAAATAGACAATATATATGAGATAGAAAGAGACAGCAACATATGGTGTATTGTTTTTTACGCATGCATCAAAGGTATTCATCATTTTATTTATTTGTCACTTATCGAGTTGTATATACTCTTTTATACCAAATAAATGGTCACTGCGGTTTCAAATTTTCTCACGCGAACGGTCAGCTGAATAAGTCCCCAGAGATTACAGTATAAGGTTCTTCAATAAGGCCATATTAAGGTTTCTTGAGGAACGGCAACGCGCACGTGATACACCTAGTGTTGCTAGTGTCCATAGGCTACAGTGACTATTTGCCATCAGGCAGGCTATATGCTTGTTTGTCACCGTTGTGGTATAAAAAAATCATTGTGCGTCAGTTACCTAAAGTCATAACCGTGACTCTTCCACAGCCTGTCCATTATCCTGAGCATTTGCAATGTGAACATATCCTGACGAAGGTCGTCGCCGATCTTCAGTATGATCCGGATATCTGAGCCGAACGGGTCACTATTCTCGAAGTCCACCATCAGAGGGCGCATCTTGCTGTCCATAACGCGGCATTTCTCCGGCCTGTTAATATACAATTGTCTATTGTATATAATTTCACCCCCTATTAAAAAAAAACTAAATTTCGCTGCAAATCTACTTTTAATGTTTCTACTCTCTTTCAAATAATATTATTTTGAAGAAAATTAGCAGAGCAATAAATTTTTATATGTAGTTAAACTTACAAATTATGTTGCAGATACCATATTTTTTCTTTCCATTACCAGACATGACTAGTAGAGTGTATTGCTCTATATACATCAAACATATACGCACAACGGCACAAATGACAGGCTAAACGCGGAAAATATAGTCCTATTTATATTACATACATCAAACATAGAGTAATAAAGTTGCCATATTAACAAATATGTGGATTGCTATCTCAATAAATTTATAAGGAAAAAGAAAAACACTTTAATAGTTAAAATAAATTTATGGGAAGTTTGACGTTTTTATAAAGAATATGAGTATGAGTGTGGCAATCCGAAATCCAATAACATTACGGAATTAAAAAAAAAATACTGTTCCCAAAAAATTAAGGAGAAATCTTACTAATATAAATAATATTAACAATAGTAACTGATCTGGTAGCGTAAAACATGTACAGACATTTGGATATTTGTTATACAATCACACTTGAACAGTTGAACGTATATGAATGAAATCAAACAGATCATATCTTAACTTCATCATCATCACATCAGCTATTAACCACTGCTAAACATAGGTCTATCTCATAAAGGAGGTTTTGCCAGTACTTGTCATGTTTGGTAGGCGGGTTGACAATCGCAGTTAGGGTTTAGTGATGTTTTAATAGGGATGCTATTGCCTATTCCTCGACCATTAATTCCCTAAGACGCCTCTTATAATATCTACGAGAAAGGAAGCGGTGGCCCATTATAGGGGCCACACCGCAATCCTAGATTAACACATAATTTAATCTTGATTTATTTAAGTAAAAACCGCGGAATATAATTAGTATATTTTATATTTGTCATCTTGTGTTATCATTTGCTTTTCTGCTAGCACTAGGAAGTGCTATATATGCAAATTTAAATAATACCCAATCACTCTGACCTGAGTGAAAGGAATTGTTAGTAATGGGGTCTAATAGCCCTATTACTAGCAATATACTCTATCTGATCGACCTCCACATGGTTCCCCCAGGAAACCATCGTAATTCTAGTTTCATTCTAGTTAAATTTGTCAGGATGGGCTAACTGACCTGCTTTCATCCTCATCTGTCATGTTTTACTGGTGACCCGCCAATGTATACTGACAGCGCAGGCAGGGTTACCATACTATTATCACCAATTAAAGAAAATCACTCTGGCCTTGAAAAATATATATCGTCATAGTCGTAGAATATTGACGGATCTTTATATGTAATCTTTGTCAGATCCGTCAGTATTCTACGACTATGACGATATAAGATAATTAATTATAGGAACCATAACAAGAAAATGATGAACAAGAGAAGTGCATGTGCTACTTTACTCACTGTATCCGTTTGCAGCGGTAGCTCGGGTTAAGTGGCGATACGAAGTCGCAGAGCGTTTCGATGCAATGCGTCTGTTGCAAATTCTGCTGCAGCGCTGCCCGCGCTTTTGATATTTCCTTCTTCTTGCGGACATTCTGGCTCACCCCTGATGAAAAATAATTACATAAGTTTTATATATCAAGCAAGCATACAGTTACCCAATAAATGATTATAATAACCTATAGAAGAGGTAAATTTTTTATTCATAAAAACTTAAACTGAATAATGAAGTACTGCGTTCGTGATTTACTGTTCATTCCAAAGATTGACTGGTAGAGAATGCTACTAGCATTAAGTCCGCCTTTTGTACTTAATTTTCTTTTGGTAAATAAGGGTATTTAAAACGGAAGTAATCAATAACAATTAACAGACATCGGCAACAGGAAAAGCAACCAAGATTTAACAAATTATACTACCACAACAATTAAAATAAGTCCCAACCCGGCTGGTCACCGTGGGACATTAGACCACCACCCTCCAGAAAATGAACAGAAAATAAGTAAAATACATCCAAGGAAACGACAACTTAAACATAGTATGTTAATAAAATCTGACAAACAAACTAAAATATATATAGCAACACTCAATACCAGAACTCTACGGACAGAAGACAGATTAATAGAACTACAAGAAGCTTTAGAAGATATATGTTGGGATATATTAGGCTTGAGTGAAATAAGACGCATGGGAGAAGAAATCAGAGAATATCAAAATTACATATTCTACTACAAAGGCGAGAAACAAGGAATGTATGGTGTTGGATTCATAATAAAAAAATATTTAAAAGAGAATATAGAAGAATTTATAGGAAAATCAGATAGAATAGCGATATTAAACATTAAACTACCCGGTCATAAGAATACCTGCTCCATTATCCAAGTATATGCGCCCACTGAACAAGCAACAGATGAAGACAAGAATTCTTTTTATATATCTCTACAAGAAACTATGGAAGAAACTCACAAGAAGAAAGTAATAATTGGCGATTTTAACAGTCAAATAGGGATACAACAGAATGGCGAAAACAATATTATAGGGAAATACAGTTATGGAAAAAGAAATAACAATGGACAAAGACTAGTAGACTTTGCATTGGAGCATAATTTGAAAATAATGAACAGTATTTATAAGAAGAAAGAGAAAAGGAAATGGACTTGGATTTCACCAGATGGTAGAAGGAGAAATGAAATTGATTTTATATTAACAAATATAGTACATAACTTTAATAACATTGAGGTAATAAACAAATTTAACTTTAATACAAACCACAGAATGGTGCGAGGCACTATCACTACAAACAGTATTAAAAGAATATGTAAACATATAAATAAGCACACAAATACGAAACTATTGCATATACCAGAAGATCAATTACATAAATATCGAAAAGAATTACTCGACACTAAACGAAATAAATCGCTGCAAGATAAGTACAATGTTATTGAGAGATGTTTAAAAAATATACAAAAAGAATGTCTTCCAGTAAAAATAAAAAAAGATAAAGTAGGAGAAGAAGCCAGAAAGTTAATAAAAGAACGGAAACTATTATTTACAAATAGAAAGAAATAGAAAATCTTAGCAAAAGAATTCTTGTAAGTATAAGAAAATACAAAAAATCCATAAGACAAAGAATAATAACAGGAGAAATTGAGAAATCAGGTGGAGTTAAAAAAGCTTTTAAACAACTAAAAGACCATAACACTTGGATGTGTAATATAAAGTCCAAAGATACACTTGGTAAACTACACAACACAACAAAAAGGCTACAAATGTCAAGAATTGCAACAGAATTTTATCGAAATCTATATGAAAATAAAAACTATTACAACAACAAAAAAGAAAAGTCGGAAGGAATTGATGAAGACTCCATTCCTAGTATTCTTGAAAGTGAAGTACGAAAAGCTATTCTGACTCAAAAAAAAAAAGACAAAGCACCTGGGGATGACAAAATAAGTAACGAGACACTGAAAGCTACAATGGAAATTATAATCCAACCGTTGACAGAACTATTCAATGAAATCCTATCAAGTGAAGTGATTCCGATCCAATGGTCTAAATCTACAATTGTCTTGTTACATAAGAAAGGAGACAAAGATAAAATCGATAACTATAGACCTATCAGTTTAATGTCTAATATATATAAAATATTCTCCAAAGTCCTTCTAACATGACTTACTATATGCCTTGATGAACAGCAACCTAGGGAACAAGCTGGATTTCGTAGCGATTTCTCTACAGTAGACCATATACATGTAGTAAAGCAATTGATAGAGAAGTACAACGAATATGGAAAATCATATTACATTGTATTTGTAGACTATAATAAAGCATTCGACTCTTTACTTCATGGTTCCATTTATGAGACACTATACAAACAAGGCATAAATAAAAAATATATCCGAATAATTAAACAAATATATGAACATAGTACTGCAAAAATTCAGCTCGAAACAGTGGGGGAAGAATTCAAAATTCAGAAAGGTGTGAGACAGGGAGACCCTTTGTCGCCTAAACTTTTCTCAGCTGTTTTAGAAAGCATATTCAGAAACTTGGATTGGGAGTATTATGGAATAAATATCAACGGAATTAATTTAACACATCTAAGGTTTGCTGACGACTTGGTGTTGTTTGCAGACAGTTACAAGATTTTACAAAAAATGCTCCAAGAACTTACTACGGAAAGTAAAAAAGTGGGACTGAGTATAAACATCACCAAGACAAAAGCAATGACAAACAGCAAAAAAATTAAACTTGTAGTGGACGATCAAGAGCTTGAATATGTAGAAGAGTATACATATCTGGGTCAAATTATCTCACCTAAACAACAAATGCTTAAAGAGATACAGAAAAGAATAAATAACAGTTGGTCTCGTTATTGGTCACTAAAAGAAATAATGAAAAATAAGTCAATACCAGTATCTGACAAGAAAAAAGTTTATAACAGTTGCATCCTGCCAGTGCTGACATACGGCTGTCAAACATGGGCTTTAACAAAACAAACTATACAGAAATTAAAAGTATGTCAGCAAGGTATGGAAAGAAGTATACTTGGCATCAGATTAAAGGACAAACAGCGACTCACTGATATTCGAAAACGAACTGGCATTACAGATGTGACTCTTAAAATAAAAAAGCTCAAATGGCGATGGACTGGGCATATCATGAGGTCATCAAAAAATAAATGGACCCAAGATTTAATTGAGTGGTATCCACGTGATGGAAAAAGAAACCGAGGTAGGCCAATAAGAAGATGGGAGGATGATTTGCCCAAAGGCTGGAGACAAGCTGCAAAGAATCGTTACCAATGGAGAAATATGGAGGAGGCCTATGTTCTAGAACAACCTGAAAAATAAGATGTTGCTGATGTCAACATTATTTATACATATTTACAATTTAAAAAAAAAAATCTGTAATTCAGGAATAAAGGCTATTTTTATTTTATTTTATTTTATTTTTAAATAAGGGTATTTAAATAAATAAATAAAACCTGCAAACTTATTTTAACTATTATATTATATATTTAAAAGAAAGTAGTGTATATTTTCTTTTCAGTTGGGAATTTAGCACAAAAGGTAGAGACGAAACAGTTCAATAGCGGTTTATGAGACATTTGACATTTTTTATGAATAAAGAGGTTAGAGTAGTAATTAGTTGTAAAGCAAACTTATGATTAACTAGGCCTATAAGCAGGTTAGTGATAAGTTACTATACAACCTTTGTGTCTGAGCAGTTTGAACTCTGTATACTAAGAAGACACTAAAAATAATAAAGTAAAGCTCTAATGGCATATTTTGTATGTAGGATATAATTTATGTAGGCGTAACAGTCATGGATCACCTGGTGAGTGTAGTGTTATCCTGTGTAAGTGCAGGTGTGTGCGTGCGTGCGTGCGTGCGTGTGTGTATGTATGTATGTATGTCTAACTACGTACACTTGAGTTTGTCGAGACATGCGATTTGCCGCAGCAGAATACTGATGTGGTCTTGGCAGCCGCGGCAGTACGCCTCCAACAGTAGACCAAACCGCACCGACACCGACGGCATGTGCATCTCCGATCTGGACATTTATTATGATTAGACATGCAACAAAAAATCAAAAAAGAAAATGTCCAAAACATTTAAAGAATCAATAGAAGGTAAGAAAAGTTGGATACTGTCACATTACACACTAAATCATAAAAATAACAAGACAGTGCGCCATCTGACTTTACCTGTAAGGTAAAGTATGGACGGCTTTAAAGTGAAATTTTTATAACCTAACTCTGTAAAGAAAAAAAATATTATTAATGTAATAAATACGATAGTTTGCAACAATGGAAGGAACGATATATGTTTGTTACGCTTTCACAAAAAAACTACTAAAATGAAATTTGGTAAATGGATTGGTTATATCCTAACTTAGCATGACTTTATGATTTAATTGCGAGCAGAGCCGCGGGATGCAGCTAGTCATTTATTAATACTGATCTAGAGATTACGTTAGGAAGGCAACATTTCATGCGTCTAAAAGAGAGAAAATATTAGAATAAAAATCATATCAAAATGTTTTAATTGACAATATCCGACCAAACATTTTAAAGACATCTGCACCCATACATAGTTTTTTTATAGTTCATGAAGAACAACTTATCTCGGCTAGAATAATAACGATGATAGAAACTATGCCTACATAATTAATTTTAAACTTTCGCGTTGTTTACACATATTTTAAATACACTACCGAGACTTAACGCGATGAAAAATTTCGTCGTGGTGCAGTCCACGTCGAAACGTCAGCAACAGAGAAGTACATATGTAGGTATAATTTACCTGCAAATTTTTCATCGCTGATTCAATCACGATAGTGTTTTTAAAATATATGTTTACATAATTAAAACTCACCTTAAATGCCAGAAGAGATAGTGACCAATGATCATGTTTTTAAACGCGCGTTGTAATAAAAACACCGACAAATCGCACATGAGGTAGGGCTCGTGTTTCAACGCCTGAACCAGTTGTAATAGATATAACAGGAGGTCTTCGTCACTGCAAATGAAATACTTTTTATTAGTAAACAATATTTTGTATCTTTGCCTTCCTTTGTATTCTACCGCTTGTATAACGTCATCATCCTCACCTATCATCCTTCACTGGTGCCCCGCCGGTGTATACCGATAGCGCGGGTGGAGTTACCATTCCATTATCACCCATTAAAAAACTTTTGTACATATTTCCTCTGATAAATACCTGATCTTCTGCAGACACCGAACAGCGAAGCTCCGGACGGTGGCGTCCGCGTACGCGTAGTCGAGTAACTCGAGCGCGGACTCGACCGGCAGCGAGATGGGCCAGTCGTCCAGCAGCCGCGCCACCGCCGCCGCCTCCGCCCGCTCGCCCCACTCCACGCAGCACAGCAGGCGCGGCAGCAACCACGGGGCCAGTGAGCGGAAGTCGTTTCTACAAGGATAATAGGTCGTTTACACTGGGTTAGTGTGATGAAACTATGTATATGCGAAGTATTTTTTTTTATTCAACTTAGAATGGCAAACAAGCTGACGGCCCATCTGATGGAAACTGGTAACCGTCGCCTGTAGACATGAGCAGTACCATGGACATAACAGAGTATACTGTTTCACCCATGATACTCCCCATGCGTTGCCATTCCTGAGGACTCGGGTGTTATTCCTCCGTACCCAGTAAATTCACGCCATATCCCACCCTTCAAACCAAAACACAGAAACTAGAGAAACTAAACTTAAGTACAAAGGATTATAGCCATTATATATTCTATTATTGCTGGCTACAATATGAAGGTTATAGTTTTTTTTTTTTTTGGTGGATGAAAATGGTATGGTAACCCCGCCTGCGCTAACGAGATACGCTGGCGGAGCACCAGTGAAGGGTGATAGATGAGAATGAAAACAGGCCAGTTAGCCCATCATGATGAATTCATCAGGAATTAACCATGATAGTTTTCAGGGGGAACAACGAGGAGGTCGACCTGGTTGGGTATATTGCTAGCAATGGGATTTTTAGTCTCCATTACTAACAATCCCTTTCCCCCCCCTGAAGGTTATAGTTAAGAATTCCAGAATTTAAGGTTACACATTTTAAAATACTATAGTACCTTTTAGATAGATGCCGACATGGTAGAATGTGGAATAATGGACTTATAAAAAAAAACATGTTCACCTAATGTATGTATCCATATTTTTGCAGTAAATTATTTGAATTCGAATATTTACCCCTATTACCCCTATTATAAGAGTACTGACCTCAACGCCCATATATTCTTCTTGTCTTGCTCGTGCATTTCATACATGGGATCCTTTTCGGCGGTCGCTCGAAGCTTCTCGAAATCTCTCTTAAGGCGCGACATCACTTCGGGTGACCCATTCTCAATGCGCTCCGCATAAGCTTTTACCATTTCTTGTTTCGGGAATACAATAGGATATTGGCAATCATAACTGAAAATAAATGTTACTAATTAAAAAGATTTCAAATTCTTCAAAAAGGGGGTAAAGAGGTTTCTTCAGGATCGGCAACAATGGTAACCCCGCCTGTGCCAAAGGTATACGCTGGCGGAGCCCAGTGAGGGATAATAGGGAAGAATGAAAAGGCAGGTCAGTTAGGCCATCATGATGCACAATTCAGCACAACGGTTTCAAGAGGAAACCATGTGAAGGTCGACTTGACCAGGTTATATTGCTAGCAATGGGACTGGCAGTCCACGATACTAACAACCCCCTGGGAAAGAGATTTCTTCAGGTTCGGTAACGCGGGCATAATGTCCCTGACATTGCAGGCGTTCATAGGCTACGGTAACTGTTTACCACTCAAGCTTGTTTGTTTAACTTACAATCTGGGGGCCTACCATGAAATGAAATTCCGAATTTTCGGACTCAATTTTGTGTTTTTGTTCGTACCTAAATCGACCCAGTAAATGGAGCTTAACGTTTCGTTTATCATAAATCCTATTCTAATAGTACAGAGGAACGATATTTTAATATTTTTAATAATTTTAAGCAGCATGTATTATGTAATTTTAACATCGAATTTCTATTTCGTTCGTTCCCGAAATTTGATAGGCCCTCTGGTACATGTATTATTTTGTAATACGTCACCTAGATGTGGTCTATTATATTTAATTGAATTTCCTATTTTTGAAATCCATGTGTACGAAGTAGCAGACAAAAAGCTAGTGTTTCATATAATATTTGTAGGAAGTAAGATTAAATAGATAATAATATAACAGGTCAAAAACATACTTTGAGAACTGCACATGTAAAACGGCGCTACACGAGTCTGTATTCGAATTGGAGAACACTGTCCCCAGGGGATGCAGCAGCTGATCGTCGCCCTGCGTTTCATCCGCCACGTGAGTTGACATGAAAAATGACACTTTATCCGTCCTCAGTTGATCCTTGTAGTCGAATATCATTGTGTTCGCCCACGCCAGCCGGTTTATTGAGTCCTAAAATATTTATTAAACTTTTTGTATATAATTTTGAAGGTGATTTACATAAAAAAGACTTCAATTGTGGCAAAACCTATTAGTTTACAAAATTAAACTACTGAATCGATATTGGTAAAATTTTTATGAGATGAATCTGTAAGTGCATCATTTCAAATAAAAAAAGGAAATCGGTTTATAACCGATAGAGTTATGTAGTGACAAACATAAATTAAATACAACTGAATCGAGAACTTCCTTCTTTATGAAGTTGGTTGAAAAACTATCTGCATGGGCACATCTGTCCCACATATGTTTCTGCCAAACAACTGTGGTGTAAAGTCAGTAAAGTTATTATACTTTACACCTCTGAAAAGCGTGGTGTACCATATAAGTAAGTGTACCTATCTTGTGATGTCCATTTATGGCTATAGGTGCTGGTTATCACTTTCCACCAGACCCCATTACTAACAACCCCCCCACCACCACCACCAGGAGGTGGGACATCAGCGTATTTGTTATTCTAAATAAACTACAACTATTGCTGTTGCGGAGAACGTAACACTCTACCCGCATACCGTCGAATAAAATTGAATCTACTTTGGATTCAAATAAATAAATCATCGTCATCATTTCAACCGTTCACTGTCCACTGCTGAACATAAACCTTCCTCATTAGAAGAGGTTTTCCAGTAGTTGCCACGCTTGGCAGGCGGATTGGCAACCGTAGTTAGACTTTTAGAGATGTTATAAAAAGGACTATTCTATTCTCTTAGGCCGCCCCTTCCTTTTCCGTGGTCTGTTCTATGCCGAGAACACACGGGACAAACGAATAAATGGATTATCACCATTCAGAAAGGCCAACTGTATACACACCTTGCCGGAGTCCTTCCCCTTCTTCTTATTCTTAGTCTTATTAATTTCAATTTCATATATCCCAAAGCATAGTCTCGCCATTCTCGGTATGTTGTAGACCTTGAGCGGGAACTTGAGTTCCTGCTGCCACTGCGCAACGCCCTCCGACGACACCGCCGCCGCTCGAGTCTTCTGCGCCTCGCATAAAGGCTTACCGCCGTGAAATACGCCAGCTTGACAAATTACCTATTGACAGAACACGTTTTTGTAGGTGAAATATAATCACTTATTTTGGGATATCACTAAACTATACCCATCTAAACCATAAAATGTCAAAAAACTCCAAGCCTCGTAAAGTAGATACTACAAAAAAATTGTGAAATTTTATGTAAAACAAGTCTGTCAAGTTACTGTCTATGAAAGACTGTATCAACATTCGACATCTTTATTTCTATAATAATTATAATGACTTGGCAATTGCACGGCAACATATCGTCATAGTCGTAGAATACTGACGGATCTATATATGTAATATTTATCAGATCCGTCAGTATTCTACGACTATGACGATATGCTACTAATAAAATACTTATACAAAATCTAATATTTTGATTACTAAGTGTAATCAAAATATTAGATTTTTTATTACATTATTCTTTTATAATTAATTCATAAATTAATGAAAGAGTTTTTTACACTGCAATATAGCACACCGCGGACTTTTCATACAAAAATAACTAAGGGTCTACCATGAAATGTTTTCCGAAATTTTGGAACCGAACAGTACAGAAAAATTTAATATAAAAAGTACATGATACATGACGTTTAAAATATTAAAAATTTTAAAATATCATTCATTTAGACTTTTATGGTAGGATTTATTTCGAACAAAATGTTAAGCTCCATTTATCAGGCCGATTTCGGTATGAACAAAAACATGAAAATGAGTCTAAAAATTTGGAAAGTAATTTCATAGTAAACCCTCAGAAAAAGAGTAGAATAATCATTTATTCAACAGAATAATATTATATTATATTTATATACACACAAAGATACATATTTACGCGAAGTGACACAAGTACACACGCAATATGTAAACACAAGGTGCAGTACTTTTTCGAATTTTGGAATCACAAATACAGTGACGTCAATGCAATAGACTGTCTATACTATTTATACAAGATGTATGTTAAGATACGACGCGAAATGACGTATGTACCCACGCAAATGTATGAATATGAATGAATTACAGTGCATTCTTTTTTCGAATTTTGAAATCACAGACAAGAGAGGCGAGGTAAACTCGAGATTTTTTTATGACACGAGGGGGCAAACGAGCATGAGGCTTAACTGATGATAAGTAATTACCACTGTCCGTAGGCACTCGCAATTTCAGAGAGATTGCAGATGTATTGCTGAGCTTTTATGACGAAATATGCTCCTTTTTTAAGGTTTCAATGATACTGGAAAAGTGCTATTAGTTACACTGTGATAGTAGTTCAAACAGATGCTCACCTCAACAACACGATTAGGGTCCACGTTCAATCCGCCAACACTCAGTACCATGCAAGAGTATAACTTGTCTATATCCCAGGAGAGTTCATTCTTACGTCTTTTCATTGTATTCGAGTCAGCGGTCTGCCGCCTCTGTTCACGTATATAGTACTGCTGGGGGTCGGCATCTGTAAAATAATAATTTTATAAAATACATTTGAACAAATGATAATTTTGATACATAATATTAATGATTTACAAAAAAATCGACTTATGACAGCCTTTATTTTGATTTAAAAACTAAACTAGTAAACCGATTTTGATAACATTAATATGAGACCAATCCGTAAATCCTTTCAAATAAAACAGGATTTGTTATATCGGTTTATAACAGACGGAGTTACCCTCCCTCTTTCTGAAGCCGATTAAAAATATAAGGTCAACATTTTTGTAGGACAATTGAAATTAAATTAGTTTATTTGTATTAAATAGTCTTAAAATTATTACAAAAGCAACGTCGTACTATTTTAGCACCTGTTTAATTGCCTTAAGCGATGTAGACATGCAAATATTTACATTTTATAAAAAAAAAAAAAACAAAAAAAAAATATGATTCGATTATGATCATTGAGTATCAAAATACATTAAGTATACCATCAACTGTATAGATATATCGGCACTACAATGCTACAGCATGCAATTATAAAAATTCTATTATGAAGTGATGAAAATACTGATCGTCTGCGCAGTTCTTAAACGAGTACTTTTAATGACAAATAATTCAGAAAATTTCATTTATATAACTTCTTCACTTCAGGTCTACGTCTTACGAAGCAGATCAGATAAAGGAAGTGAACGCCAACATTCTCTAGCAAACTGCATTTTGTTTTATAACACAGGGTACAAACAAGCATGCGGATCACCTGATAATAACTGACTACCGCCTCTTATGAACAAAACCGGAGAAATTGTAGGTATGCTGTCGGGATTTTAAAAATACGCTCTTTTCTTGAAGGTTACTTACTTAAAAATCTCAATTTGTCCACACTGACAGTCATGACTTGGGGCACGGAGTCCCGAGACAGCATCTCCTGGACGTATTTGAACTGTATGAGCGGGTAATCCCCGAATAGATACTCCTCGCGGCCGCACACTTTCAAAACATAATTGTGTGGATGCTCGCCGCGTATGTTCAGTGACTTCGCTTGCTTTCTGAGAATGATCTCAATGTGCTGCTGCGGTGTTTGTGTGAATGGTACGCAAAGAGATGATGAAAACTGAAAAAAAAAAACAATTACAACTACGATCAATGATTCTGAACACAATTAAAATTACGACAAAGTTTGAATATGATAGTCCCATCATATTTCACATTTATTGCTTTTAATAAAATACATTCATTTATTAGATGCACAAAACAACTTTACAACAAAACATTGCCGTATATTTTCCTTCGAATCTTTATTAATATGCAACGTACAAGTGAACAACATACAAGTAGGTAGCCGTGTGATCCTGGAATAGAATGGACCACCCCAACTTCTACCATAGAGTTCTTAAGAGCCGACTAAGGGAGCTCAATGGTCGAGGAATGAGCAAAAGCTCTCTTAAAACATCTCCAAAGACTAAGTGCAGTTGCTAACCTACCTGTAAAGAGTGGCAACTACTGGCAAATGTCCGCCTTTTGTACCAATATTTAGTTTATTAATAATTTATTCTTTATTGAATAAGATATAAGATAAAGAATAAATAAACAAAAATATTTATTTAAAAAAGGAACAAATAGAAAATACACGTAAAACCTTTTTGTTTTACGCCACTTTGACAACTGAGAAAAAATACAGCAAACTTATTGTCAGTTTGGCTCCGAAGTTATTTTGCATATCGATAAAATTAAATAATGCTGAAATCACATTTCAATCTGCAGAAAGACGATGAGGAGGAGCAGGAAGAGACGATGGCAGAAGAGCCGTCGAGCGAAATGGAAATGGTGGTTGTTAAAGAAAAAAACATCGAATACAAAGTAAGGAAGCTGGACAAGTTCGAAGTGATTTCTAGACTCAGTATGCTAGGGAAGACAGCGGAAGGAGATGGGCAAGTTCACCCTCTTATATATTTATCAACACATTGTAGTCATAGAAAATTATAAAGCTTCATTGTAAATATAGAAATTTTGTTTTACTATAATAGTTTTCAATATTAACATTGTAAGGAATATTATTAAAATATGAATGTGACGATCTTTAAAAACTTCATCATCATTTAAGCCATTATCCGTCCACTGCTGGACATAGGTCTCTCCCATAGACTGCCATAAGAAACGATCCTGAACCACCTGCCTTCACTGACTCCCTGCAATGCATTTGAGGTCGTCACTCCATCTAATGGGGTCATCCTACACTCCGTTTACTTGATTTTAAAAACTTACAACCAATAAATTACTAATGTCCAATTATAATAATTGGTTATAAATGTATAAAACTGATATTTAGTTCTTGTAATAGTTAACGATCTCTGTGGCTACGTCGTGAACATATTCCTTTACTAAAATACGGCCTAAGTTTCCTTTCTCTGTAAGGTAAATTTAGAAAAAGGAACTTTTCTAAATTGGTTCGGGTCTGATTGTTAAGGGGTTATGTGGGATGTTTTATGTTTAATCTCACACGACAAAGGATATACCTACTAACTTTAGAAACAGATACTTTTGTACTCATATATAGTGATAACCATACACATACAAGTAGAAACAAATTGAACGCCCATCAACCGCTTAGTACTTTTTTTTTATGGGTGATAATGGAATGGTAACCCCGCCTGCGCTAATGGGATACGCTGGCGGGGCACCAGTGAAGGGTGATCGATGACAATGAAAACAGGCCAGTTAGCCCATCACGATGAATTCATTAAGAATTAACCATGATAGTTTCGAGGGAGAACCGCAAGGAGGTCGACCTGGTTGGGTATATTGCTAGCAATGGGATTTTTAATCTCTATTACTAACAATCCCTTTCCCCCCAACCGCTTAGTATTAGGTGGGTCGTATGCTTGATTGCCACCTCAGTGGTATATAAAAAAAATCAAATACACGTAAGGACTCGGCTCTCCTAAAGGACTGCTTTTAGCAATAGTGGTGATCAATCTCGTGTTGGCAGTCACACACATACTTATCATAACAGAATTAAACAAAAAAATTCTAATTAAATAGTCATAAATACGATATTGTTACAGTTACACTTACTTGAAAGCGAACTGTTCAGGAATGAAATTAACAGACTTATCGGGTATAAAAAGCTTTAAACATTTACAATTCGTTGATGTTTCTAACAATTCTCTAGACTTGGACGCGCTACAAGTGCTCACAGAGTTACCGTTTCTGGTTCTGATACAAGCTGACAAAAATGTACTATACTCAGCAGCTCTTAAGAAAATGAAATATCTACAAGTGATCATTATGAATCACAACTTCATATCATCTGTTCACGACGTCTACCAGCCTGAATTATCGACCTTAGAGGTCGGATATAACAAGATAGAGAGAGTGTATTTCGAACATCGTATGCAAAATATAAAATGTCTCGATTTTCGATACAATTTAATTAAAGATATTGCTGATTTTGATTTTCCCAAATTAGATAGCCTGTATTTGGCTGGAAATAAAATAACTAGTTTGGTCGGCTTGGAGAGGCTGGTCAATTTGAGAATATTACATGTTCGATACAATCCTATAAAGTCTCTTAATGGTTTTGATGCATGTCTAACAAAATTGCAATACGTGAATCTGAGAAATTGTAAAGTTGCTTCATTGAAACAAGTTAAGAAATTGAAGGTAAGCGAATAGAACGGGTTTAATTGCTGTATATTTCTAATAATTTAATAATACAGAATAAAAATTCTTTTGATGTAGAAAACAAGCATACATAGATGAAAAAGAAATAGTAACCGTCTGCGTTTTTTTGTTTTGCGTTTTATCTTGCCAACAATCTTCTTCGCAGTTTAGCAAATACTATGTATAACCTTGTATCGACTTTAGTAAAATAATATAAATAAAATAAGTTAAATTTCCCATTGACTACGTTATTACTATAAATGCAAGACATTCCTAAAGTCATTACCCTTACCATACCAATCATACTCATCCCATACCATAACATATAATTTGTGTGTTCTATACAGGTATATATACCATGGGGTGTAGCCATAAGCGTATACATCCCTAATTTAAAGACAACGACTATGGTTAAGCAATATAAAGCTCAAAGAAAAGTCAATGAATACATTGAAGGAAAATTATTACAGGTATTGACAGCCCTGGACACATTAGTGATGAAAGGGTGCCCTTATATGGGAGGCACTGGGGAAGAAAATGCTGAAGTGGGCAACGAGGAGGAAGACATGGAAATAAGAATCGAAATACTGGCCGCGTTACCAAGGCTCAAGAGGATCAATAAAGGCGTTGTTACGGCTGAGGAGAGGTAATGTTTACCTTATTAACAGCGTTAACGCCTGTTTCAATACAATTTATTGATTTATGTAAACTACGAATAATTGACTCGGCCATAAGACAGTCTACTAATATCAAATAAACAAATCAATACTTTTAATCAGTTAATCAATAATCGATTTATACTAATATTGGATATTTTTTTAATAGATCATAATGGAATGATAACCCCTCTTGCGCTAACGGTATACGTTGGCGGTGCCCAGTGAGGGATTTTTTTTTGATGGGTGAAAATGGTATGGTAACCCCGCCTGCGCTTACGGGATACGTTGGCGGAGCACCAGTGAAGGGTGATAGATGAGAATGAAAACAGGCCAGTTAGCCCACATGATGAATTCATCAGAAATTAACCATGGTAGTTTTCTGGGAGAACCGCGAGGAGGTCGATCTGGTTGGGTATATTGCTAGCAATGAAATTCTCAGTGCGACGATAAAATGGTGTCGTGCTGTGCTGTGCCAATTGTATATCGCTAATGTAATATTATTGCATATTATTATTATTTTAGCCGTTAAAAGTCCACTGCTGGACATAAGCCTTCCCCAAAAGGGGAGTTCTGCCAGTAGTTGCTACGCTGGCAGGCGGGTTGGCTACCGCAACTAGGCCTTTGAGGATGCTGCCCATCCCTTACCTTCCCTTAGTCGCCTCTTACAACACTCACGAGAAAGGGGTGGCCCATTCTATGCCGGGACATAATAACATATATAATTAGTTACGATTTATATATTAATTTAATATGTACTATATATAGTTATTTATATATGTATTGTATGTGATTTATAATGTATATTTTTTAAGTATATTATTCTATATGTTTGTATGTTTATTTATCTTAAATTGTTGTTATCTCACAAAATATTTATTTCAATTACATTTTTTTTTAAATCTATGCCTTTTACTCTCTTTGTTTAACGTAACGGTTGACTAGTAGAGAATGCCATCAGGCATTCAGTACGCCCTGTAGACATATTATAATGTGTGGAAAAATATAAATAAATAAATAAAATAATTGTTGTAACAAACAAAATTATTGCTAGCACGTCCGAATAGTTTTTACGCCACGTCTATAAATTTGTTCGTGACGAACTACCAAAGTATTTACCTAATGCTATAGTAGCTGTGTGACAACAACTTATATCAGTATGGTGAAATCTGTAATAAGGTTTGCCTATTCATCGTGCTGACGTCATCATGAACATTCAATAACAACAACAACAATTGTGTATATAATACCATTATGGCGTTTAATTTTAAATGTAGGTACGGCAAATATTTTTATTTTTTTAATTTACTCAGTATTTAAAATAGATACCATAGTGTTTTAGATTCTTTTTTTTTTTTTTTTTGTTGAAAAGATGGGTAATTTAAAGTAGAAGGGAAACGAACTGTTAAAAATGAAAACTTAAAAGATATAGGTATAGGGAGCAGCAATAAATATATCATAAAGTGTTATTCGTCGACTTCTAAGCGGTTGTCTTTGTATCTATAGTTAGTTCCTAACGAAATGACATGACTTTTCTTCACCTTCTCCCACTGGTACCCCGCCAGCGGGAACCAATAACGCAAGCACGGTTACTATTCCATTTTCATCTATTAAAAAAAATAATAATAAGTCCTCCTGTATACATTTTCGTTGTAATCTGATATCTATTTTAAAAAAAGTAGCTTAAGAGCAAGTCAGACTCGCACAACGAGGGTTCCATACAAAATCATCAAGTTAATTTATTTCTTATATTTTTTTCTTTACTTGTGCTGCATGGCATTACTGCTTGGCAAATTTCGTGATTCTAGGTTTTTAGGACAACGGAAAGTACCCCATAGATTTTGATTCCCTTTGCGAGTGTTAAAATATGAGATACAAACGGCCGTATCTTTGATTGCGTCGATTTAAAAGCTTGATTTTTTCACTACTTTAAGAGATTGCAATCTTGAGTATATATTAATATCAAGTTGATACCTCCACGCGTTTCTTATAAAAAGGATCTTGACTGATGGACGGACAGACGCACGGCTTTTTTTTAATAATGTCACCTTTATTATAATAAAGCAAATAGGAAACAAACGACTGACTATTAATTTCATACTTTCAGGGATGAAGCTAAAGAACTGATGATGCAGTGGTTGGAAGAAGGTGAGATAGATGAAGAAGATATTGAAGAGGAGCCCAATGAAGAAGAATTTAATGCCAATGATTAATTTTTATCATTGATAAATACAATATTACTTGTAAAAGTCATTCAAACAATAAAGTTCTTGTTTAATGACATATTTCTAATTTGACGCTTTAAATAAATGTGTGTTTGCATGTTTGTTACTTCTTATCGCATTAACAATACAAGCAAAAGACGTAATATTTGATTTATAACTCCTTATTCTTAAAAACGTCAAACCTCTCATTCATATACCTATTTTAGCTATTGAACCGTTTTGTCTATTACTTTACACTAAATCCTAAATTTTTAAAATTTTTCAAAATGACAAAACAGTGTAGTAGATTTGTAGGTTTTAATTTTTATAAATAAGATAGTCTTTAAGATGAAAAAGGCTATATTTTATCACGGTCAAACAATATGTCCCAGTCATAAATTTGAAGTTGTAGATGAACACTAGTTCAACCATATGGACAATTTCCTTTTATCATCATCATCATTATCATCACAACAACACAGTAAAATAATCAGTACTCTCTTCTATTATTACTATGATGACCAGGCAATATAATCACTATATATTTACTCAGTCAACACAATGTATAATATGATATATTGTCTGATAATTACAGAAATCAAGTAAATAATTTATTTACTTGATTTCTAAATATAGTATGAAAGTTTATATAATTACAAAGTAACAAATACACTCTCAAAATGCATTTGCATATATGCATATATTTGAAAAGAATCTAGAATGAAAATTTTTTATTTGCCATTTTTATTGAATTTTTACTATAAAACATATAGTTTCAATATAATAAAATTAAATTAAAATACACATTTTTTATTTCACTTTTTTAGGGAAGAAATAGAAATAAGTACTGATATGGCACAATAAAACAATAGAATATCAACATTACAATATAGGCAAAAGAATTATAAAAAATATTACAAAATGTTTACAATTAGATTTACTGAAAAAAAAAAAATCTAGTGTTATTAATTACAGTACTCACCTCAGAATTAGCAAATCTAGTGACAAGCATAAAACTATTTCTATTGAGTTGATTCTTGAGTGTGGTAGGTATAGGCTGATCAGCCAGTCTTGGCGGGTAGTGATACCGCAGTTTCTCTTGCCAATCACTTTTCATTCGTCTTAATAAACTCTCTTCAGCTAAATTGTGCATTTGTGTCCGAAAATCATTCACTTCATTACTTCTTAGACTATCAAATTCGTTTAAACCTATAAAAAAGAATGAATGAAGAATAACCTTTATTAAAATTATGTACAGAATATACAATATCAGTCAACATAATCGTCATCATCATATCAGCCTTTAACCATCCACTGCTGAACATAAGGCTCCCCCTTGAGGAGTTTTGCCAGTACTAGCAGTAGGCTTTAGCAATGTTTCAAGAAGGGTGCTGCTGCCCATCCTTCTACCATTATGTTCCTTTAGCTACTTCTTATGATAGTTATAGGAAAGCAAGGAGTGGCCTTTTCTGTGCCAGGTTTAAATATTTACTACATTACTTAAATGGCATACATGGATGTCATCATATTAATATTCAGACAACAGTCACTACATAGGGATATTTTTATATCTATATATTAAAATGTTTCCAAAAGATATTTTTTCTGTCTAAGGTGTACAATGTGTAATGTAGTTGTAATTAATGCAGTTCTTCAAAAGGGGGGTAAAGAGGTTTCTTTAGGGTCGGCAACGCTCGCGTAATACCTCTGGTATTGCAGACGTTCATAGGCTACAGTAACCGCTTACCATCAGGTGGGCCGTATGCTTGTTTGCCACCTCAGTGGTATAAAAAAAAAGTTGTATAATGTTGGTACCAATTAAGAAAGAAAATAATCTAATACTGTTTTTTAACAAAAACTTGATACATAAAAATGCATTTTGCTGATAATTATATATAACAGAATTTAGTACAATAGTAAATTAAAACAATTTTAATAGATATTCTATAAATTGATGAAATTAATCAAATATAGATACTTCACATTAACGAGTATTACTGTATTTAATGTCTAAATTACTCATTTTTACATTAATTTAATTTAAAAAATAAACAACAATATATCTTATCACCTTTTCCAATTAAATGGCTTATTTGTGTGTTCAGCAGATATTCTCCTGGTTTCACAGACCTCTTTATGATCATAAGCACTCCACATACTGGTTTGATATCTCGCAGCCTTTTGTTCTCATCATCCACCTCCTCAAGAACTGCCAGGGAGTTGACAAATTGGAACACATAACCTGACATTTCATGCATCACCCCAAATAAGGGATAATGTGCCGCCTTCTCCCATAACTCCTATTTTGGTACACAATGAAAAATGTACAATTAATATTAAACATTAAATAATAGATTTTTAAAGTACGATCACCAAAGCTTTACAATAACATCATCAAGATTTAGATCAAAGTTAAAATTTTGCTATTAGGGTATGAACATATTGTAAACAACTAATGAATCATATTATTGTACTAATGATCAAAGGTCGAATATATCATAGAAAAGAAGGATACATCCTATATACTATATATAAAATTGTGAAATGTGTTGTTAAGGTATATTTATCGCTTTGATAGAAAACAATATTATTATTATATCTAAATAGAAAGTCGTAAAGATAAAAAGATGTTTAGATGTCTGTTACATGATTCCATATTTAAAAAATTAGAACTTATTTGAATATTACTGAAAGATGATATGCATTGTAATGCAAAAATAGATAGGCTTAAGTTATGAGATCTATATATATATATATTTATGTATAGTAATCTGCTTGAAATTGTCTGTGAAATGTCACTTCACCTAGATTTTATTCTCCAAATGTATATTATACTGATCCAATAAAATGCATACAGAATTTGTTTACAAAAAAAATATACAATAGAACATTACTTATGGTCTACTTTCTAAAACTGAAATCTCTATCTAAACAACTCAATAGACAGTTTGACCTACTTTGCAAAAGCAAACGAAACAATGTGTGGCTGTCGTTCATGACTCATACCATCTGATCGGCGAGATAACTAACCTCTTTCACATCCTGAAGAGTAGCATCCCAACTGACTCTCAGAGGAATGTAAATAGTATTTGGCAGGAGGCATGTCAGCTCCACGTAGTCGGACGGCGATGTCGTCCAGTAGTCCCAAGTGGACGGGCAGCTCGGTGCAGGAACCATCGTTTTGGTTTACTCTCTTAGATCACATGAACATACCCTCACAACATTTTAAGATGACCTTTCACTGATAACCCGAGTTCATAACGAATTGGCGACAAAGCCGCTACATACAACTGAAAATAATGTAAGGAAATCACTATATGATGTTATTACAAACGCCGCAACGTTGAATCATAGCATTTCCTGGTATTTACGAGGGGCAAATCGCCATTTGAAAACTGTCAACGTTAATACACAAACAACATTAAGTAGAAACACATTGATATGTTATAGTATACCTTCTCATAGCGTTTACATAATTTGTTTAATTATCGTTTCATTAAATATTAAAAATTATTGAAATACTGTAGACGGGTAATAAATTTGAGATTACTTGCGAGAAACTAATTTTTGTTTATGGTAAAAATCTCAGCGATATCGAGTCTTTCTAGTAGCGAATAATTCCTTTGACTTGGCCGACTTTTCAAACGATGCTCAGCAATTCGACACTTCAATTCAACCATAGATTATTTCGACAATATGACATTGACTCGACAATTGTGTTGGTTTATAATCGTTCAGAATCAATCGATTATTGACATTAATTGAGGTCACAAAATTTTATATACAATTGTGGAATCGATAATAGATACATACTAATTGACAATAGGTATAATATTAATTATAGAATATTCATATTTTGAAATATTACTTGACTTTTAATTTTTTTTTCACTTCTCTTTAAAGTCACAATTATTTGTCAATTATCAGAAATAATTTAGTAATTTTTAATTACTTAAAAATTCTCTATTACTAAACTAAAATGTTAAATAATGCAATAATATTTTTAAAAATCCGTCACTGAAATTTGGGTTTTGATAGTAAAAATATATTTGAAAACCCCCCAAACACAGTATAAAGTAGGTGCAAAGTTTTTAGTAATAGATTTATATGCAATGTATTTTATGAATATATTTTAGTTTACAAACAAAGCACTTAGCTATGTTATTATATTTCTTAATGAGAGCTCCTAAAAATAAGGACTAAAGAATTCTATTCCAAAATTTTTTAAATGTTAAAAATTTAAATTTTGTATGCATATGATATTGGCCATTCATGGAGATGTAACATGGCGTCAAATATTTCTACCTAAAATGTAAATGGGTAGTGGCAGTATCTACTAGTTAATCTTGGGAGAAGAGATTGTTAATAATGTTGTTATGAATTAATTGTTGATGTCCTATGTTGTTGAAATAAAAATAAATAATGATAGGGACAATAACGGGTCATTGTCCATTAAACAAACATTTATACACAATAGGAGCCACAGACAGCCCTCTATGTCGAGGCTGTTTCGACGCTGAAGAAACGGCTGCTCACGTAATCCTGGAATGTGAGGCTGTGGCCCATCAACGTTTAGAAATCCTCGGAACGGTGAGGTCGCTCCGTGAAGCCTGTGAAGAACCCAGGAAGCTTCTGCGCTTCTGGGCGGAGCTAGGTTGGCTGTACTAGCCACGACTCACACGCACAACGGCCCAAATGAGAGGCTAAGTGCGGAAAACAGAGTCTTTCTTACATTACATTACATTACATTGTTGATGTCCACACGTTTCACCCTAAAAATTATCGTGGTTATTTTTTGTTAAATTTGCCTCGATGGATTAACTGAACTACTTTCATACTTCACTTATCATTCCTCTTTGGTTCCTCGTCAGCTTATATCCATAGCTCAGGTGGAGTTATTATTTCATTATCGCAAAAGATTTCAGATTATCACACACAGAAAAAAATATTCTTTATCTATAACTTGAAAACTTTGACATGATAAGTTGACATTTCTCTGACACTTATCTCGTGAGTCTCGTGACAGCTTTTAATAAAAAAAATGGCATAATTTAGAGAAAAATAGAAAACCATGCTCTTATAATAGAGTATTGACCTGTTTTAATTTAAAGTTAGTAAAATAAAATGTTTGAACATTCAATAAAGGTACCGAGACATTACAAGGTTGCAGCGAACATTTTTAAAAAAGTTTCTACTGAAGGAGGCAGTGTAAAAAGTTTATTGTACGACGATAAACTCCGTCATTTTGTAAGTATTTAATAAGAAAATATGAATGATTAGTTTTATATCTTAGCTAAATAAATATTTTTTTCGGTTTTTATTATCGTAAATTTTACCTTACACTATTCATCTTTTATGTATAAGTGAATCATAATATTTGCAGAGGACCAACGTGCTGTATGCTCTAATAACAGAAACAATAAAACATGCAGCCGACATAGATAAAATATTTAATAGTTGTAGCATATTAGAAAATGAATCTCGTTTAGATCCATGGTTGGCGAAGGTCCTCACTGCAGAACTCTTATTCGGCAAAAAGACACTACCAGGGAAAAGCAAACCTGAGCAAACAGTACTTTCTTATAAAGATCAATTTGAGAAATATGCTACTGACCATCAAGATGACTTGAAGACTGAAGGTAATTATTTTGTTTCTTTTTCAGATATAAATTCATCACATATTAATCATCTATAATGGCTGATAATAATGAAGGTCCATTGATACCTCAGCATACACAGAGGGCTGTGTTTGTACTGGCGAACCTGTTTCTCTACAGTGTTGCTATGTTTACATTGCCATTTGTTGCATTTTTTGGTGTCAGACACATATTAAGTGAATATTATCCAGTTAATGCCTATGTAGTGACAGTGTGGTCAGTTGTGGCTGCAGTGCTTGTTGTGAATTTAATAATATGTGTTTACGCATATAAAGCTTACCATGAGAAGGAGTATGATGAACATGGAAATGAAATTGATCAACATTCATACACACCCCTCCCTACATCTGATAGTTCAAAGAGTGATTTGAATGTAAAACAAGACTAATACATAAAATGCTTGGTTTACACACATTCCATTTATGTTACTAATGTAATATAACTACAATAATTTTAAAATATGATTATCAATAACGAACTGCTCTTCTACACACATGTTTGATTCCATATTGTTTAAATTATAGACAGAGAAATAAAATTAAAACTGTAAATGGGTAGTTGTTTTATTTTTAGTTTAATATTTACTTTTATATTAAGCACTAATTTATTCAACAGGTATTATTGTTTTCATGTAATGGAAAAACTTCATTAGACTATTTTAAACATGAAAAAGTTTAATTAGTGGTCCAGCAATTTCCTTGTGATGCCCATATAAATGAACAGAATATAATAAATACTTTATGTACATAATACATGTTATGAAATAAGTCTGTTATTATATTTTCTTGATCATGTATGTTCATGTATGAACTTTCCTGTTTTTTTACAAGTCGATCTATACTCATAATAAATCTGTAGAGAGGTCAATTCTGTACATGAAATATATTTCCAAAATAACTATCAGGGAGTGATTAGTGATCAATACTGATGCTAAAAATGCAATCAGTAAAATTTTTGTCTTTATGTTCGTTATAGAAACAGAAACTACTCCACGGATTTTAATGAAACTTGGTACAATTATTCTTCATACTCCTGAGGAGGTTTTAGTATACTTTACATCACGCTATGATCAACAGGAGCAGAGTAGTGAAGGGAAATGTTGTAAAACGGGAGAAGTTACTCCATTTTTAAGCTTAAATGGCCACTTTTTAAAATGTAAAAATGTCCACCCGTGTGATGCCAGGATGGGGCTCTAGTACTAAATATAGTCATTACTGAATATTAGAATATGCAATAAATGAATAATGCAAAGTGCAATATATAATTATCTTTGAAAATATAAATAACTTTGATTTTGAAAAACCATCTAAAATCCTAGCACTTTTATCCTGATGATCCTTATCTGTTTTAAAAATAGACTGAGAAGTTAAATCATGAAAAAGATATTTGTTTACTATTTTAAATTGTATAAAAATTGGTTTTAATGTAACCTGCTCTTCAAAGTATGCAAGCTATCCTTCACACCAGAAGTGAGAGTGATAGAGGTACACACATAGATGTATTTAAATTTTCCTCTGATAGATCTTCATAATATAAGAAAAATGTTAAATCTTAAGGGTAAAAGAATCTATGATTACACTTAACTTTTAATTACCACTTATTCATTACAAGACCATAGTTTGCTCCTACCACAATGCTCCAGGCCATTATATAATCTACATAGTTGATGCTAACTTAAAGTGGCGGCCTAATCTTTACTTGACTATTGCATAGATGAGCAATTTACTCATCCTTTCCAATTTTTTTTTTGTAGTTGTCCGCAGACCTCGGTATGTGCGAATTAACACGAATCTATTGACAACCTCAGATGCCATTCGAGCATTCCAAGACGAAGGTTACCGCTTTATCAGATGCACGTCCGGCGCCTACGACGACTATCTCAAGCAGATACAGAGCCTTACTGAATATGATTTTACTCAAGATTACCATGTGAAGACGGTTTTCGTGTTCCCATCAGGCACCAAGTTGCACGAGCATGAACTGTATTTAGAGAACAAAATTATTCTACAGGATAAGGTTTGTTAATTAATATTTATCTTTTTTATGGATTGATAATCGAATAGGTTACTCGATACTTGTATCAAAATAAAAACTTTCATACCTTTAAAGTTGGAGCGAATGTTTATTATTACATTTACAAAATTTTATTAAAATCCATTGAGCGTTTTTAGAGAATAGCATTTACGAATATAGCTGTTTTTATTTATTTATTCCTATTAATAACTATCTTTTTTCACTTAACTTCGTACGTCTGGATTTCACAAATAGGAAAACCAATGAAATAGGTCACTTTTAGATAGCATACCAAGTAGAAACATTCACCAACAACTTCAATTCAACACAACTGTGAAAATCGCATCCAATTTGGTGCAGTAGTTTTTGCGTGATGCCGGTACAAATATACGGACAAAAAATCTAATAACATGTTTTGACATCTATAGGCCTTATAAGAACCCTCATATTTTTATTTTTTTATATTTCCCGTGTATAGACATCGTCGTGAAGTTATTTTATTAAATTAATAACATGATCAAACAATTTTTACAGGCCACAGCATTAGCAGTCCATTTGTTGGCCCCGCCCACAGGAAGCGTGGTGCTGGACATGTGCGCTGCACCAGGCATGAAGACTACCCAACTCGCCGCTTATATGAGGAATGAGGTCGGTTTTGAGGTAGCTTTAAGTCAGAATCATATTATTGTGTTGTACGCATCAGAGCCATACTAACAATATGACATTCTACATTCTTTTCTGTGGTGACTCCAGGGACAAATGCTGTTAGTAATGGGGACTAGAATCCCGTTTGCCATAATGCAAACTTCTTAGTTTGGTACTAAAACCTTGATGTCTGAATGGATATACATACATACATTTATGTCATTAGTCGCTTTTTATAATACTCTAGAGATGAATGAAGTAGTGATAGATTCTTGCTCTATCACTGCTTCGACAATTTAGAATAGTCATATAATTTTAAAAAGTCGTATTTTCAATTTTAGGGCAAAATATATGCAGTTGAAAGAAACGAAAAAAGATACAAGACCTTATGTGACTTTGTTGAGAAAACTCACTCGAAATGTGTGGAAACAATACATAAAGACTCATTAGAAATAAAACGAGGAGAGATGGACGATGTGGAATATATACTGCTGGATCCAAGCTGTTCCGGCTCTGGTAAATATTTTGTAGTAAATTTTAAAGTAAAAATAACCTGTCTTATTTTATTATCAAAGGATCCCCTTATTTTAGAATTGCATTTGACGACAATCTGACTTGACGAGACTACTGTCTCACGTGATCATTACACTACACACACACTTGCAGTTTATTTTTTCAATTAAACTATTATTAAAAATTATTTTTTCTCTCAATGTCCTCTACTCAAATGTTGTCTAGATCAGATATGGCCACCTTTTGGTTAAGGTCACCTCAATTCTTTACTATTATCCTTATATTTGTAATTGGTGCAATAAAATTCAAATAATTAAATAATCAATCTATTCGCTTTAGCTTTGAAGAGGGTTACATTGTTATTCTCAGGAAAAATCGCTTTTTGACAGTTTATGGGCTTAGTATTTATTTTGGTAAGCAAGCTATTGTTTTATATCGAATTACGATAGTTGCAGCCAGTGAACACAAAAAAATATATATTAATAAAGTTTAATTATTATTAATATAGTTTAATTATATTAAAAAAGGGGGTTTACAAAATAAAATTATTTAATTAATTAATATTCATAATTAACACTGGGTAAATCCGACTGATATAAGTATCAAAGTGCTTGTTTCAGTAGATCACGATGTCTAAATGTATATATTCAGTATTTTAGTATAATTAAAATTTAGTGAATAATTTTCTATTCAATCGGCAATTTACCGATTGAGGGCACTAGAACCTTATGTTAATATATTGGCACGTGTTGGTAGCGATGCTCTTCATCAGCGATTTGCATAAGGGTAACAATCAGCCTCATGTATCCTATACTAACATACAAGCAATTAAAACTAATGACAATCTGTTTATTAAAGTACTTGTTTTAGCCCGCGGGTTTACGCTCGTAAATTAAGAACATAGCTTATAGGTTAATCTAAAAAACAAGTAGGATTTTTTAATTTAAAATTTAATTTACAATTTCAGGTATGGAACTTTGCGTTCATAATTACATCGACGCCACGAGATTGTCTAAATTAACATCGTTACAAGAAAAGTTTCTAAAGCACGCTATGAATGCGTTCCCAAAAGCTAAAAGAATAGTTTACAGTACTTGTTCATTATTTCCCGAAGAGAACGAGAGGGTGATAACTAATGTGGTGAAAACTTCCCGAGCTAAGTGGCGGGTCCAAGATGTTAAAGAATTATTGAAAGGCAATTGGAATAATATAGGATCTGGAATGTATGGCAGTATGGGCACTAGATGTTTGTATGCAAGACCCGATTCAGACTTGACTATTGGATTCTTTTTAGCTGTATTAGATAGGGACGAAAAAGATATGGAAAAGGGGTTGAAATCTGAATCCGTTGAAGTGGACGAAAATAAAGTAGATGAGAATCTGCCAAATAAAATAGGTAAAAAGAAAAAGGAAGAAAATAATCAAAATAGCATGAAAGAAACATCAGAAGAGGCAATGACACAAGATATTGTGATTAAAAAGAAAAAGAAGAAGAGCAAACATAAAAATCGAGAAGAAACAATTATTGGAGGAACGGAATCAAACGAAAATAACCATTTTAATGAAGAGAATAATTTGCCAGATGATCCTACAGAGGTTTTGGATAAATCTAACGAAAAACAGTCGAAAAAAAAGAAAAAACGTAAAATTAACGAAGATGATCATGAAGTATCGAAACCAGAAGAGCAATTAGCAGAACAATCAGAGGAACTACAATGCAAGAGAAAGAAGAAAAAGAAATCAAAACATCGTGAAGATGAACTTAGTGAAACACAAAATGTACAAGTTGAGGAAAATGGCTTACCTAAAAAGAAAAAAAAGAAGAAACATGTTGATCATGAAATTGAATTGAGTTAATTGTGTTTTTATACTTTTTCAGTAGATAATAAATTCTGTATCAGAAACATATATTTATTTTGTTTACTTGTATTATAATGTACAATTCTATTCCAATTAATTTTCATGATACCTAAACAATGAGTTTAGGTCTATAAGTGGCTGGTACTAGATGGATTGTTGCTCTGTGTTTAGCCATGAGGTAGCTGTGAGTATTCGTTGTTTTGATCTGAAGGCTTCGATCTGATAGTGCCACTTTTCACATAAGAAGCATAACCATAGTACATGCATGAGCGGCACAATATATACTGTGATGTTCATAGTTTACCATCTAGAGGTAATATAATCGTCACGGATTTATCCTGAAATGAATAATTCTAATTAATAATTACTAGCTGTTTTATTGCTATCGAAATACCCAGTCAAGTCCATCTGGTAAGTTCGTTACGATGAGCCAGTTTTTATGATGAAAAATAAGTATACGGCCCACCTGATAGTAAACGGGGATATCCTAACCTATGGAGCCCTATAACAATAGAGATATCACGCGTACTTTGCCGAATCTTTAGAAACCTTGATACGCCGTTTTTTAAGAATCCCACAGTAGTCTAGGAAAAATGTCGGCAGGAAGACCATTTCAAAAACCTAAATGGTCGCGGGAGAAATCTTCTCTGAAACCACACGGTTTGTGACCATTCTGGTTCTAGGGTGTGAGGATGGATTCCCTGCCGATGGTAAAAAATGTCTGTAGGTATCATGTTGAAGAGCTCTTCTGAATACAATTCCTTATACAGGCAGTAGAAGAAGCAAAGTGTTGTCTTAAATCAAGAAGCTCTATACCGTCTAGGATTGTCAATAATTTTTACTTGATTTGGTACATCTGTACCAAATCAAGAAAATTAAGCTGGTATCCAGAAGTTCTCGCCCCAATTGACCTAACTGGGAGGAGATGGGATTGTTAGTAATAGGCAATTCCCTTGCTAGTAATAAACTATCAAATCGATTTCCTTGCAGTTCCCCCTGGAAACCATTGTGATTGATTTTTCGTTGAATTTTTCACGATGGGCTAACAGACTTGCTTCATCCTCACATAATATCCCTCACTGGTGTCCCACCAGTGTATACCGATAATGCAGGCGGGGTTACTATTCCATTATCATCCATTAAAAAAATACCTAACTTCATCCTCTTTCTTCTTTCCTTTACTGGTACCCCGTAAACCAATAGCGCCGACGGGTTTACAAATCTATTTTTTATTAATTAAAAATGAGTCAAAAAGTGATTAGTAAATATCTATATTAAAATCTAGAATATATCACTAGATCTAGACCACTACGTTTTTAAAGAGTTCTGTTGATGGTAGTTAATAGTTTTGTCCTTGACTTATATAATTTAAGATTTTATTCCACAGAAAAAAAAAACCACTTCTATTATGGTAAAACTACTCATTTTAATATAAAAAATGTTATAGTGATTTTGATAAAATTTCTATGATACCGATTTCAAAGTGTAGATACCTATCCTTTCAGATAAAAAAAAAGAATATAAATGACGGAGTTATGAGGTAACAAACATAAAAGAATACAACCGAAATGAGAACTTTCTCCTTTTTGAAGTCGGTTAAAAATAGTACTTTATCCGCGATTTCATCCGTATAACTGGAGTGTTTATTAACCAGGATAAAAAGTAGCCTATATGCTATTCCATCCCTTATAGTACATGAATACCAAATTTTATACTGATTGGAGAAAGTACAAGCGGTAAAAGGCATCAAAAAACAATTTTACTTTAACATTTATTACATTAGTAAGGATTTAAAAAAAAAAAAAACTATTATTTTTGCTAGACGATTTACAAGTCTTGTAGCAAAAATCTCTTACAAACATACTCCATAAATCCCTGTCATTAAGTAGGGCGAATATCATAAACGCCATTTCTAGTCGTCTAGCCATTGTTTCTACGAAATAGCTAAACACATATAACGTAATAACAAGGGGAAAATTAAATTTGAACTCTATTCCCATTGTACAAGCTTCAGATAATAGATAAATCGCTAGTAGCCGTTCGCACGCCACTTTGTCACGAATTGTCGTGTGTCCTTATTTTTATTATACCGAGTGAATATAGCGGTTGACAATATAGAAAAAGCCATCTTGTTTTATGTTCTTTTTTAATTCTACTGTAACACTTTAAAATATTTAAATATATTTTTGGGAATTAAAACGACGGTATTTCAAGTAAATAGGATTGCTGTTTCGATATTCATGCGGTATTTTTTTAATGTGTTAAAATGAAATGATAACCCCACTTACGTTATTGATATACGCTGGCAAGGCACCAGTGATAGATGGCAGATGAGGATGAAGGCAGGTCAGGCGGCCCATCGTGAAGAATTTAGCTAGAATTAACCACGAAGATTTCCAGGGCGAACCGCGTAGAGTTTGACCTGATATTGCTAGCAATGGGACTTTTAGAACCCATTACTAACAAACCCTTTCATGTCTATTACATCTCTATTTACCTGAAAACTTTGGAAATTTTTTTTTTGGAGGGTGAAAATGGTATGGGTACCCCTGCCTGCCTGCGCTAACGGGATACGCTGGCGGAGCACCAGTGAAGGGCGATAGATGAGAATGAAAACAGGCCAGTTAGCCCATCATGATGAATTCATCAGGAATTAACCATGATAGTTTCCAGGGGGAACCGCGAGGAGGTCGACCTGGTTGGGTATATTGCTAGCAATGGGATTCTCAGACTTTGGAAATTATTATTGATTCAGTAGACTCAGTTCTTATAGATTAAGATTAATTATTCTCGAATTGGATTTTTAGTATCTAACCCAGTTTTGTGTAATTTGCCCTATACCTAGGTTTCTTACAGGCATAAATAATCAGATTAGCACATACTAATGTAAATTGTTTGTAAACTCAATATAAAACATTCGTAGGTAAATGTTGATTCGATTCGTATTAAACGGATTCCGGGTCACTTAGGTACTTACTCAAATATCCAGCTTTTCTTTTACCCTTGAGCCGGTTCGTCTAGCATACCTAATTCATGAGTAATTATGTAGATTTAGATATGGGTTATGTTATTATACAATTTTGTATTTAAATAAAAACTGGGGTAAGATAAAAGAGGTACTCTTTATATTTTATTCTCAGAGATTAGGTATAGGAAAAAATTTAAGAGAGACAAAAATTAAAAGAATCTAACGTATGGTCTATTTGTTCAAAGAAAATAATGGGCTGGCTGTATTATTGCTAAAAATGATCTCTGCCAGGTTTTTTTCATGGAGAGAAGTAATTTTAGTTTAATTGGAGATACGTTATGCTAGTTTGCCATGTGGTCCCGACATAAGCAAAGCCCCCAAAGGGGAAGGACTATCTTCAAAAGTAGATAGTAATTGATATGGTATGATACCTACACATACAAAAAGTATAGATAAACACAAAAAATAGGGGAGAAAGGGATTGTTAGTAATGGAGACTGAGAATCCCATTGCTAGCAATATACCCAACCAGGTCGACCTCCTCGCGGTTCTCCCTGGAAACTATCATGGTTAATTTCTGATGAATTAATCATGATAGGCTAACTGGCCTGTTTTCATTCTCATCTATCACCCTTCACTGGTGCTCCGCCAGTGTATACCGTTAGCGCAGGCGGAGTTATCATACCATTTTCACCCATCAAAAAAAAAACACAAAAAATACAATTATAATAGAAAAGTTTCTCCATTGAAAGTTGTAAAAATAATCTTCTGTTATTATACTGACAGGTAAATAAATATGTACCTAAGTAACGATACGAGTAATTAGTAGGCATATACATATGTCAATGTAGATGAAGAAATTTTTCCCTGTTTAGTATCCTAGCAACTGGTCTTCACTGGGCGGGCCACAGTTGGGCGGCACTCTCTCGCCTCCTGCTATCTACCAATCATCAACCGGATGCGCAATATTATGACAGTCGTGTCACTGGTAATACAATACCACGGACTTTTACTATATTTAAAATGTCAACCTTAATACTGGGTATATAGGTAGGTTTTCGATTGACACATTAGAAAGAAATGAGCTTCCGTTATTGGTATTTGATGACATACGCCCCTATCTACATAGTTGTATAATCGTGAACGTAGCTAAGTTTAAACCATTTTAATTTTCTTCCCTCTTCTTACAAATAAAGAAAAGTATATTTAAGTTTGTCAGATCATCACAAAGTGAAGCAAAGAAGATTTATTAAAACTGACAATTTTAACTTTGTTTAGTTAAAATGAACTGTAAAAGTAACATGTTAAAATTAACTGGTAAACTGTTTTACGATTTTTGTCCGCACGACTTTCCATTTTGATTATCATCATTATTCATCTCGCTTGTTACATCACAAAGAATTTTTTTCTTCGCATAGATCATCTATCTAAATTTTCTATTTCTCTGCATATATTATATCTAACTTTATAATACATCAATATTTTTATTACATAATATTCAACAATTGTCATCTTTCTTTGTTAAAATAGCAACATACTGTCTGAAGATTACAAAATAATAATCTGCATTAATCGTTATTCTTATATTTTTTTCTTACATTTTCATTTTAGTTGTTACAGGCATTATTTTCAGTCTGCCTCGTAATATTTATTTCTTATGTTTTTCTAATTTGCTATCTTACGAATACATCTCAGTATTCTTATTTCTGTTGAATGCAGACATTCTTATACGTTTAAAAAGTTAATTTTACTATAATATTAATGAAATTATAAAAAAAGACAACAATATGAAATTATTTACAAAATAATTATGGTACTCACACAGAAATAAACTCTATCGCTTATATATAAATAATATTACAAATATGTTAAGAATGGGGGGAAAGGGATTGATAGTAATGGAGACTGAGAATCCTATTGCTAGCAATAAACCCAACCAAGTCGACCTCCTCACGGTTCTCCCTGGAAACTATCATGGTTAATTCCTGATGAATTCATCACGATGGGCTAACTGGCCTGTTTTCATTCTCATCGATCACCTTTCACTGGTGCTCCGCCAGCGTATCCCGTTAGCGCGGGCGG